CCAGGAATCGTGTTTACAAGTTCGGAAACTGAGGCCGACATACAACTGCAAAGTAGAGAAAGAGTACGCAGGCATAGTGATTTCATCCGTCCCCACACCTCGGTCGCAACATAACCTGAGGGGGAGGGAGTTCTTACAGAAGAGCGTGAGCAGGCGGACGAAACTGAGCAGCCGATCGTTATCCTTAAACCAAACGTTCACCCAAGCCGATGGAAATTTAGGTTCTACAAATGTGAGTTCATCTGCCACTGACCGAACAGCATTGCCACATTGGTCGATACTAACTGGCCTTTTATTCTTGTTCTGATTGGCTCATTTTACCGTTTATGTTTTCGATCCGTGTGTCAGAACCCAATTCCGCGTGTAACATCCGGTTGTGACTTCTCACCCCAAGTTCAGGACCACGTGTCCGACTACGAAATAGGGATACTCTGGCACCACGTATCATACATATTGCGCAATCAGTCCAGGTGGAAAGATTGTATGATTATGTAGTTGCGTCCCATGCGCATCGTGTATCGCGATATTGTGACCGCGTCGGCTGTACCACGACCCGTGATACACGCACATTCCGAGAACTTCTGCGTGTACCCCCAAAAATTAGTGGGCAAAATGCGGAAAGCACAGTATTTGCATTCTGCTGCATTCGGTTGGGATGTAGGCGACATAGTATAGCAATTACGCTGCGCCATTTGGTCTTCCCCTAACACGACGCCCTTGAGCCAATGGTGACTATTCATTGCCAGAATTGCGCAACACTCGTTTTGTAAAGGCGCACAAAACCGTTGCACAGAAGTTTTCTTACGCAGTACCTAAAGTGTGGTAAGTGTACACATGCAATGCTCGGAAGTGCTACAGTCAGTGTCGTTCATACTATTGCGGTGTCTTTTCTGGAATAAAACAGTCCGACGCTAGTGAGGTAAGCAGGTTAAAGTGCAAAAATCGCAGGTCCAGAAGATGACCAAAGCCGATCGGTCAACTGACTGCAAAACAAATGAAGGCCACATAACTTTCAAAGTACGAAATCTGTAGATACCACCTGAACCTGTAACTGACACATTGTGACAGTGGTTTCCAGTCAGTGACATCACACGACTGCATCAAATTCCAGCTCAGAGGCACTCATGGAGAATGGGCAACTGACCACAAACCAAGCTGAACGTAAAACAAAGCGCACACGTGTCGGAAAAATTAACAAAGCATACGAATAATGCGTAATACAACAGATGCACAGGTAGTTCACCTATCTGCTCTCTTCTTACTGTGATCCGTCGTTTCCACCATTGTACCTATGGACTTCCCAGATATAATGTCTGTGTAATTGCGAATACACTCGTTTGCTCTTGCTAGTTCTCTAGGCACCACGTTATTTGTCTAGCACTTGTCCCATAGTAAAGAAATACCTTGGAAATATTATGAGAGTATTAGGCTCACGCAATCAGACAACTAACACACACAGTGCTTCAGTGTCCCAACGGTCTTCACTAACGTTGAGTGGGTGAAAACTGACACACTTTATCCAGGTGGTGATCGCATTCTAACGCTTCACCGACTGGTTCAACATCACCACCAATGCAAACCCCTATGACAATATCCTACCTTGACTTAGAAATTATAGAGGTAACCTACTAATATAGCATATTTGTGAGTCACTTGACGTTGATTTGTCCAGCTCACCTACGATGTGTGTATGTATTGGCTTTTCTGGCATTGGGCCAAGTAATGACACACTTCGTGTCTTATAGGATGCGGATGCATGTGAGTTACGGAACCCGCACAGTGATCTGATAACACTCTGATCCGCACCGCGTGACTACGGTCTGGCGGCCTGTTTTGCTTAGTTCTGTTACTACGTAGAACCTAGCTCTGAAGAGTGTACGCGAAAAAGTTGTTTAAAACCTAGTATCCCCATAGCATGCGGTTCGTGGGGATGTGTAAAAATCTACAGGAACAAATGGGGTGCATTGGGATAGCCTCATAACCCGCATCATATTATGGAATGAAATTGAGAACAACGAAGTAGTTCTAGGAGTAACAGAAATTCAGTCTTGAACATGTTTACATTATGGTCAACTTCAGCGCTTTGCCGATCACTTGAGCACCGGCGTTAGTGATGCCACCTGCAAAAGATACATATTATATTATTAAGTAAGGTCCATTGGTCCGATATTCTGTGAAATACCTGGAGTTTCTGATCACCACCGTCACGGATAGCTAAATGTTCGGAGACGGCGAACCTCAAATTATTCGAATGCTGACGCTTTGTTTTCAAGCATTTGCTTCATTACCTTGTCTGCAAAGAGAGACGGTTAACTGCCCTAATAGGGCGTGTTTTTGGCCACTCGCAGAGGAAAAGAAGGAAAGAGATGGCGCAACGTATATATATATATATATATATATATATATATATTCACAGACATTGTGCCATCGGAACCACGGCAGGAGAAAAAAGTGAAGAATATGGGAACACTAATGCGAATTAAAAAATATGGGAAACGATATTTTTGGTTTTACACACGCCATTTTGTATTTTTGTTTTGTGAGTTTTTGTGTGCATCAAAGGGATGGTGAAATTGCGGAACAACATTGCCGCCACTGATGTCTGCTGCGGGCCATGACGTCCAATCCGTTGTGAGATCAGATATGTCTAGATATGTCGTTAAATATTAAATAGTATCACGCATCATTAACAACGCCAATCTTCATCTATAAAACTTTACCTTTAAATAAAACGTTTATTTCAGTCATCATGATTGACCGACATATTGCCGCTAAGTGACCACTTTTATATCATTGGACGTCCCAGTGAGACATATTTGGGACGAATCTCGGTCACTCAAAAGAGTTTCCGTCCAGGTTTTTAACTTTATTATTGGATAATTACAAGCCATGACGCTGTGTCCGCTTACTGTTTACGGTATTTGCAACCAGGAAAAATGCGCTCACGGCTGCACAGAAAAATATCTTTCTGGGTGACAAAAGTTCCTCAAAAATGTGTCTCAGTGGGACGGTCAGGAGCATAAAAAAGTCACTCAAGGCACTCCAGCGGTTAATCCAGCAGACGTTTTTCGGTCACTCATGTTATGCAAGTACTTATTTTGGTACACAATCATAGATCGAACCAACGAGGGTAGTATATCTTTCAAGGGCCTGACAAGCAGTGGCTTATCGTAATAAACTATTCTCAAATGAGCTGCGGGATATGTTTACTCAACCGCGTCTTTTAGACGTGGGGATAACACATTAGCAGGTGCATTGCGCTTGAATGGTAAATGCATAAAAAGTTCTTTCTTCGGAGCAATGCTCCTAGGTGGCTTACATTCACGTGTTTTCAGATGCTACCGGATAAATTTATGCGTGCGTCCATTTTATCTAAGGATGTCGCTGATTTTCTGCAGACGCGAATCTTCGCTTCTTCTGCAAACACGAGTCCAGAGATTAACTTTCGTTTCTAGATATAAAGGTTATCCGAAACTCCGACGGTTCTTGCAGTAGAAGTATACACAGGAAAAGCACATGGACTGGACAGTGTATCAACTGTCACAGCACGATACCTTTACAGTATAAACGGAGTTTGGTACAGTCTCTCATCTTCAGAACGCACAGTATCTGCACACCAGATACGGTCAATGAGGAACTGCAGAAAATCAGCGACGCCCTTAGAGAAAATGGACATCCGGATAAATTTATCCGGAAGCATCTGAAAACACGTGAACGTAAGCCACCCAGGAGCATTGCTCCGAAGAACTTTTATGCATTTACCATTCAAGCACAATGCAGCCGCCAATGTGTTATCCCGATGCCTAAAAGACGCTGTAGAAAAGACATAGCCCGCGGCTCGTTTGAGAAGACTTTATTACAATAAGCCATTGCTTACTTATTTTGATTCAAGCAGCTATACCGAAACAGTTTAGACGAATGGAAAGCTCATGTTGGAGTGTTTTCTTGGATTGAACATTGGGAAAAGCACATCCACATCTTCATCATACTGCCGATCGTCATGTTAGTTCAGCCGGCACCGCGAACGTATGCGGCTGCCAGAACTATACATAAGTGACCAGACAAAGCAGGTGAGGTTGGTCGAAGAAGCACGAATGACTACTGATGTGCAGACTGGAACAGGAGACATTGAAAGGTGTTCCGATCAGAATATATTGACATATTCATGTCATTTTGCACAAGTGGAACAAACAGTGGAGACAGTAATCTGTGCGGTGTCAGCCAATTCTGCCCATGTTCATTGTGATAAGCGATGCATTGCAGTGTCCGGGAACTTTTTATGCGTGTATGGTCAATGAAGCAGTGTTTGCAATTTTCGTTCCGGCGGCCAAAAAGACATCCCGAGATATGCCCATACTATGAGCAAGGCAAGGTGATGGAGGCATTACGGCTACTAACCAGTGCGTGAAGCTACAAGACTGCGATGATGTAATGGCCATCATCCGACCTCAATAATAGTCTGTGCAAAATGGAAATCAACAGCAGGGCGAGCATAGTAACCGAAAATCAGATGAGCAAAGCGGCTGCTGAACGAGTATTGAAGCTTGATCTCGGTATAAGAAGCGAACAGAGCTGGACTGGATTAAGGGTGGCATGGCGTTCTGAGGAAGAACGCCTAACGAAAGCCCCATATAACACGAAAACTCGTCCACCTTAGTCTGAGTATACCGTATTGGGTCCATTGCTAGTTTTAATTTGGGCCAGAATCGCAGCAGGCCATGTGAGATAGGCGAAGATGTGGTCACTAGTGTAGATAGTACTCGGGGACTTGGAAATTCGGAGCGATTTGGACGCAAAAATGGACAGATTTGAGATGACCACAGCTCCGGCACTTTTAGTAGAATGCAGATAAGTTGGTAAAGAAATAGTCGCAAGAAGTTTTCAGCTACTGCTGGTCTCTGTGTTTAGTCACTGCCTAATCAACGTTGCCATAAACACCACAAAGAGAAAGGATGGACACTAGGACAACGCCATCCAGTTGGGTACGTAATTAGGAGAATATTACGAGCCCTGCGAAATGAAAACAGCATGACGGAGAGCGAGTAGCTTCGAACTAATAAATCGAAAACATAATATGCACGTGGATGGGGGAGTGAATTGCTGGTAAATGCGTTGAAGTAGGATTTGGACAACACTTACGATGAGCAGAAGTTTGACAGAGAAACACGGTAGAGGGACAGTGTAGGGTCAACTCTGAAAAAAGATAACAAGACGTTCGTGTTTGATCACGTAGTGGTTTGGTCGCCGGTAGTTACAGCAACTCGTTTTGCCGGGGGAGCCGAAGAGGGACTGGCTACTGAATTGTGTACAAATTGTTTGTAACGAGCTATCATTTGACGAGCCAGTTGCCGATGGAGCAAAGGTATAGAGTCGACTGGTAGGAAACGAATACTCCCATCTGCATCGATTCGCACTGGGCAAGCGTCTTCAGTGAATAATGTGTCATATACACGATACACTTTGCGAGCGTTTAAACCGTCCGTTATGGAGGGAGACGTCGATGAGGAATTGGACGGCGCATCGGGCTGCGTGTTGGTGGGTACCATCTGTGGAGGGGCGGATAGAGAGGAAGCAGGTAACGGAGCTGGTTTAGAGATCGTAGTAGTATTCGCAAACAGGACCGATGTCGCATTACTAGTCAATCCGTTGGTACGTGCGGATGGGCCAGACAATGAAGCAGGCGCTGGTGTTTGACTCGTCTGAGAACCACTCCATGGGGCAATTCGGAAACGGAGTGAAATATGCGGGGATGTAGTGGGGATCGTGGCGATATAATCAGATTTAGAACTGACTTGGTTTACTGTGGTACTACGAAAAGACACTGTTGGTTTAGTTGGAAATATGGGAATTTTTGGTGAACCGGATTTGTCGAACCGCCAGGAGAATGCCATGGGAGGAGGAGAGCGGTTGACTGGTATTGTGGTGGAACCTAACGGCTGTTGAACCGTTACGTCAGCTGCAGTACAGGTGGCCTGAGTTGGTTCGGATATGGAAGAAGTAGTACACGAAACTGGGGTTGGATTAGGGTTCGGAGCTGTTGTGTGGTCTTCTTCATCGTCGTCGAGCACACGCAATTGTTCGCGACGTCTGAGACGCTCAGCTCGCTCCTTTGCTAAGTTCCCAGATTGCACCAAATCACTCTGGCCGGATTGGGCACTGGAGGAAATTGTTGGTTCCGTTGATTTGGAGTTCCGGCGATCCTCCTACGGAAGAGACAGAGAGCGTAGATGTGTGAAAGGCATGTAGGCGATTGGGTTTCAAATACAACAAAAAGAAAATGATTAAGAACATACTTCTCTTGCGAGCCACGCAAGGACGTCTTTACGTAAACGAAGACGAGCCAGTTGCTGAGCATCGCCGAGTTCCGTCTGTCGCAAGGACATAGATGAATGCAATCGTTCTAGATTGGCGATAAGGAGACGCAGCCGACGGATGGCGCGGGAAAAGCGCCTATCACGTGGGGTCAGACGGCCGACAGCCTGGAACAGAGGCAAGACTACGATTATTCACCAAAAGATAAACTAAGACGTACATAGAAATGGGATGCTGGAATAAAGATCATGAGGAAGACAGCCAATAGTCGTAAGCAAACGAAGCTGCCATGGGCGTATATATTGACGAGTGAACGGTGCTGTGAAACTCCCCGGTAGATTTGGTACAGTCGCTTACACTGGAACTAAAGGATATCGCAGTGTGCAATGTTTCCGTGAGTGAATGGTGGACGTAGCAGGACTTAGGTAACCATTTACCTACCTAGTTGAAGAGCAAAAGTCAAGCACCAAATGGCTCGATGAGTGTTTCACCATACACTGTGGACATAAGTGACATGATTAATAGTCCACCATGTTGGTAAGTGCTATAAGACACTTCGATCTAGTTACCCATTGCGTCCCTTACTCTGACAGCATGGTGAACGCAAAGCCAAAACATTGTTTTATTGGACAATAGGTTTATTGTGACGTACACGGTCACTCCCATAAGGAGCACCTCACACGCTACCTTAAGAAGCGGAAGCCCCTGGGAAACCAATCAGCAAACGTGGATGGTGACAGAGCCCGCGTAGGGATTAATACGATCTGGTGTCCCACCTGATTTGCTTAATGGCTCAGCTACTTCTAACAAACTATTCGCAATTTCAGACTGAAAGTGTCATATCGATTGGTGACAAAAAATCTGTAATTAATTTGCCCAGCTCATTGAGAGAATCGACACCTGAGATGCTCCAACTACTTGTAGCCTAGCTTGCTCCAACAGTAGATTATCCACCTCAGTGAGGCAAGGCTTGTGCAAAACTCGACCGGGATCGGTTCATCGCCAAGGCTTACGCACTGCAATGGAGGGGTTATATTACAAAACAGCGCCTCTTTATGCCAAAAAGAATGAACAGCACGGAGAGAGAGAGGATCGAATGCAAATGTTATTAATTGTAGAAGCCGAAAGGACACGACACGTAAATTCCTAATCGCCTTCAGTCACCCATAGCAAACAGAAAGAGAACAGGCAAACAGAGTGTTAATACTCGAATCATAAGTAGCCGGGGAATAACATCATAACAGGCGTGGAACACCAGCCCCACAGCTTGTTTCCAACCGCGGAGGAACACAAGTGTTGCTCAATGATCCGCTACCTCCTGTCAGAAACCGATAAGTCTCTGGGAAAATGGGCGTAAGGCGAACAAAACATACATGCGTTTGATCGAGATCGACAGTGGAACCTCTGCTGCAGTGGAAGATATGTTGACATTCTATGTCTTCCACGGCTGCATGTGACTGAGTGCAGGCAAGTCATCGCCAGGGCTAGACAACCGAACTCCCTAGGCGGACCAAACGCTGAAAAGAGAGGCCGGTCCAAGCGCAGTACATATTGGCTGGACAATGGGGACCGACTTCCTAAGAGTGGGTTAACCACAACCGTCATAGTAGAAACGCAGACTCCATAGACAAAAGCTGATGGGTGTCCTATGAAGGAAATGGGGGGTGTAGCTAAGCGGAAAGCATATCAGCGGTTGGGTTCGTCACTTGGATTCCATCAAACGATGCGGCACTTTGAATACGATTCAAGGTACACTGCCATCGACTGCAGATGGTTTCAGCTTTCGATGACACTGCAAAATCCCCTAAATTTCGAGGATGTTTTTGCTTTGCGCCAATGAAATAATAAATGTCCCGGTTTCAGAGAGACAATGAACAAGGATTTTATACGGGTTAAGAAGTACTGCATTACAAGCCCCGTCGAGTAGTCTGGTGGGTTATCGAAAATCGTTAATGAAAAAATGTAGGTAGTAGTTCTACTCTCAAAAGAATGGACCTATCGTATGTAATGCAGTAGTCCTGCACTCTTAGGTTGTCCAAAGCTTCAACAGGAGAAAAAATAAATCCAAGGAAATTCAAGGGAGTAGGATGCAGAGTAGCGACAAGTAACAAAATGTAAGTGACGGAGTGTGTCATCCAATCGATTTTTAAGTATGGATAGTGTGGATGCAGAACGAATCGAGTCGGGGAGATCTTTCCATGATTGACACAGGCGAATGGAAAAGGAATTTCTACGGCACGCCAGACGGCTGTATTGTTATGCTAATTTCAATGAGTGGCCTCTAAGCTTGGTGTTACGGCTTAGTTACAATAAACAGCGGCCCATATGATTTGGATTGTGTAAAATCAAATACACCATAGTCAATTCGCCTCGTAGTCGGCGACACCGCCCGCTGAATATTCCCAAACGTCTCAGCTACTGCTCGTATGGAACGTGGCGCCTTCCAATGACGTAGTTAGAAGCCCGATGTTGAGGTTGGTCCAGTGCAGTAACGTCGTGCTTCAGCCATGGCTACCAGACTGAGATTGCGTATTTGACATAGGGGCAAACATACGCATTCAACATCCGTCTGAAAATACTGGTGTCTAGTTGTCCGAATGCCCGTAGTAGCAAGTCGACGTGCTAGTTAGCAGTTTTCGATGTGTTTGCGGATTGCTTGAAACAATCCAAGTTATCCTGGACAAGCACGCCAAGGTCCCGTTCGACGGATGATCGCTGCAGTATTTGCGTCCCTAGCTTGTAGGAATAGGTACTCTGGTGTTGTATGGAGAGCACCTTGCATTTGTCTACGTTGAACTGTGATCGATTTCGCGTTGAGCACGCATGCACCATATCTAGCTCACATTGATCGGCCCGCGCCTGAATCCGGCACCATACCTTGATATCGTCAGCAAACAGTAGGAAATTTGAAGCGATTTGCTGTGCAAAGTCATTGATGAATACCATAAACAGTCGTGGACCTAGAACTGAGCCCTGGGACACACCTGACTCGACTGGTATGGGTGCAGATAAGGTACTGCGGACTCTGACCACTAATTCTCGTTGCAGGAGAAAGCTGGCGATGCCGCTCAAGAGAGGGTCACCGATCCAGTAATATTGGAGCTTGGAAAGGAGAATCTAATGATCTAAACGATCGGATGTCTTCGATAGATCCAAGTATAGTACATCAGCGGCTTCTCCAACTTCAGCTGATTCGGTCCAACTACTGCATGCGATTAATAAATTCGTTGTGCATGATCGCACTTGGTCAGTTACCTGCCTTCTGGAGTCATGACTCAGCAAACAAGGATAGCACGTCGAAGTGAAAGTCAGCTATCAACAACGAATGGGCCAAATACCGATTGGAAGTACTTTCAAAGCGCTGCAAAAATGATTAACAAAGCTACTTTTCCACTCCATTTGAGGTGCCCGAATTACGGATAGTTTTTGGTGGCCTCTACCAGTTTCCCTGAAGAATGGAAAACACACAGGGGAAATCAGATCCAGAGTATGCATCGATGGAGTCAGCATGACTTCTCCGAATCATAGTCATCCGTGGAGAAGACAAAGTAACCGTTTGTATGCGAAAAGCAGAGCTGCAATGCGATCAGTGCGAATGGATGGATGAAAAGATGTGTCCACTCCATAGGCTGGAGTAATCAAAACGCTAGTAGTCCAAGAAAACCGTGCTCGAGTAACAGTTGTAACTAGTACGTGCAACAAGTGAGCACCAGCAAAGTCTGCCAAATGGGTTTGCAAACTGACCTATTCGCATCACATCGAAACGCCTGCACTGGCTAGATCAAGTCTCCCGCATGAATAGCAACTGTTTATCTCGGCAGGTACTGTTGCCGTTGTTGTCGTTATCATAATTCGGTGTTACTTCCTAACAGTTCCAACCGGTTTATTTAACCACCAAAGTGACGCGAGTCATTATGGCTGGAATGATTGCGTATTGGATGACTGGAGCCAAACACGAAGCGTCATCATACTCTAGTTTGAGGTTGACAACCAGAGAAGGGACATCAAGGAGTAGATTCAACGAGGAGGAATAAACTGGAACCAATTTTCCATTTCTGCGTACATGAAAACACACACATAAAAATACACATATATCGTCCGCAGATGGCATCATAAAAAGTAGCTAACATGGCTGACAAATAAAAGATAGACAGATGGCGAGGATATAAATTACCCCATGCGCACCGCCAGGGCGGCGACATTTTGGAGGGAGAACAGAGCCAGATACGTTCTCATCAGACTCTGAACTGCAGGTGGACTGGGGGCTAGGGATGCTGCTACTTTCTTCGTTCGGATCAGGATCAGCGATAGGACCACTTTCCCAACGCCGAATCGCAGCTTCTAGGATGCGTTGAATATGCGCTATTAAATCCCGAAGACTATTGGGGTCCTGGGCGACCAAAGAGAATGCACTCCGATCAGGTTCCTAAGGAAGAATTGAATGTATGGTTACTTAACTCTGGAACACAAGTTAATGAGCGCAGGGAACGAGCAATAGTGTACAACATGCAAGAATGAGGTAGATGCTATGAATGACCCATAGCGTTGCCCCCAAACTAGATTGTCTATCAAGGAACATAGCATGTCAATTCCAAACCTCTTCCCTCATTCCCATATAGAAGTATACACAAGTGCTTTTAACAAGTGCATTATTAGTTATTTAACGTTTTTACTTCACACCATTAGCATATATTTGACTCTTCAATGCCAAAGCAGTTTGGCCTTGACAGACTGCCAATTAGCGAGCTGCTGTGCTAGAACGTTTCTGCAAGATACCGCAAGTCTTCATGTGTCCGCCAGCTTTTGTTATGATCGTAAAACCTAATCGCAATTTGTCAACTGCATTTTGAAGTATAGAACCACGTTAACAGGAATTTACGTGTTATTTCTTCTGTCTGGACTGTATGGAAAGTTTAGGTTAACTCGTCTACAGCATTCCGTTTTCGTCTCGTGCGACTAAGTATAGGCTTTGTAGCGTTTCTACATGGCCAAAGGGCCGAAAAGAGGAGAAAATGAAAGAAGCGAAGTAAAGCCAGTTAGAATACCACACAATCAAGCGAGCACCCGTATTCGTGGTCGATAAAACTACGCAGTTGTGATGACACATATACAAAGTGCATAGAACTTGAAAACCTACGGCCTGACAATAGATTGGAGCCGAACAGCAGTAAGGGTTTAGAGGCCCTACCATACAAGAGATTCAAGCTGGGGTGTGCCACCTTAGAGTAGGTAACTGAATTAGCAGCACTCCGGTGAAATTATTACTGAAATTGTTCGCAGAGAAAAGTGCTTGCAAGAACGTTTGTCCAAGAAAAAGTCAACGAATTCCAGGGAACAAGCAGCTATGGTCGATCTGGCAGAAAACTCCCAAGTTTCAATACGAATAAGCCACTTCTTCAGTCAATTTTATTTCCAAAATAGATCAGATAGACAAGCTAGTAGACCGAAGAGGAACAAAAATGAGAACGGCTGATATGAGCGACGCTAGGTAAGAAAAATAATGTGTTAGCTGTAAGTCGTAACGGCGGTTCGCTGCCGCGCGACCACTAGGTCGTGCGCGGGCTGTGTATACCGCGAGAACGCCCACTCCTACGCGGATTCGAACCTGTGATCTTATGATTGCAAGCCAGGCGTACAGACCACTCGGCCACCGGCCGACGCTACGTAGGAAAGGGTAATGAAATATTTGAAGAGGTTTGAAATGTTCACATCTAAACGACAGTTGTTGTGCCGTAGAGAAGAAAACTGTCCACTATATGATCCTGAAAACACGGTTTTTAAAGATATGAAGAATTCTGCAGGATTCAGCCGTACGCCGGTACTTCGTGCCAGCGCTCACTGCCACACAACCGCCCACAGTCACCAGCGGACCAGGGACACTCTGATGTCACTTGCATCTACGCAGGATCGAACCGGCGATCTGTGGATCACATGCAAGACACTTTATCTGATCGGCCATCTGCCAGTGAAGAACTGTAGTAAGGTTTTGAGTCACCAGCATTCAAGACAGCGCATCTATCAGTAAATTTTAAATTACAGAGGTGACAAAAAAATCTGGCAAACAAAGTAAGATGATGGTGAACTGGTGGTCGAGTGAATCACGAGGATAAATAGCGGGAAAGCCGAAAAATACGGCGTCAAATCGGTCGCAGGTTTATAGTGATTGTTTCAAAGTTCGCAGAAACGGAGCTTCAGTCGGGTTTCGGCATGCGTAGCATTGATAGAAGACCAATTGCACAGTGATCAATCGATCCAAAGAGACTCTTATAAGTGGACAGTTTTACTGCTCTCCTTTCATCGAGGAAATGAGAACGAAAGCCGGTAGCCCTGTTGCTATTGGCATCAGGTGGATACTCCTATAGTTCGCGTATGCTGAATATTGTCACTATGATCGAACTGCCCTAGTTCACTGGGATAATCATGTTGTTTCATTTTCGTTCGAACACAAACCCTTCAGAGAACGTAATGTGCATCACTAAACAGCGCGCGTTAGCGCTTCAGGACCAATGGTGCAGGAAGGTTTAAATAATGAAGTAGCCTTTCGAACCCTAGATTCAGATAAACCCACTAGGTCAACTAGGCATGGAACAAACCGCGGCACACTCACACGCGGCGCAAGATGTGTAGAAAGGCCATCAGAATGCGTTTGAGAGTTCTCCGACTAATTACGCCCTCAACTGCGAAGTAAAGGGTCGATGCGGCCCCAGTGTGTCTCACCGAAGAAGCCCCTACAAGAGTCAGTGTGGCTCGGAGTAGTCGAAAGTTGGTGTGAGAGCTATCCACCGCTCTTTCCTCCTCACAGCGCCCGAAGTTGCTGCTTCCACTAGGCATCTGCAGGTTCAGTCCAGATAGCACCTAATTGTCCACCCCGTTGCATTGTATTCGGGGTTACGGGGCATTATTACTTTGGTCTCCGATAGATTCACCGATCCTTTGGATGCTTGGAGTCTACTATGATGAAAAAAATAATACAAAAAGCAGCTCTTCTGACGTGTATTCACATATTCCAGGGAAACTCGAGGTTTAGGTTGGACTGATATTTGCGTGAAATGAGAGGACAAAACTGTAAACAAACAACTCAAATCCAAACATTGTGTGCACTTCGCAGGAGACTTGCTACCTTAGTACTCGGAGCCGTTGAGATAGCGTGATGGTATGGAGAGAGAAGCGGGCGAAAAATAAACACGAACCATGGCCGTAAATGCCTTAGGGAACACGAGTTCAAAAGGAGCGAAATAACAAGGTCGATCAATCCGCATGGAAATGGAAGAGCAAACAGTGACAGCAAACGAGCGTGCGCCAAACGCGTGAGTACTTACACAAACAAATTCCTCTTCGTATTGCTTCGACCTATCCGCGAGTTCAAGCGTTGAGTTGGAAGAATCAGGCGTGTGCCCGATGGGATTTGGATTGCTCGGAGGGCCGGGTGCTTCTTTAGTAAACCCTTCCTCCGTTTTGTGCTGAATAAGAGCGGGTTAGGGATAGTGGTAGATATTAACGTACTCAACTTTGAGAAACTGCATTCAGAAGAGTAAGCAATACCTTAGTTGGTTCAGCGTCAAGCGGGTGTTATCCATGATGCGTACTCGCACACATGCACTCACGAGTTGACGATGGTTTACATCAGGGGTGTCCAAACGTTTTGCAAGGTGGGTCACATTTTGTGAGGTAAAAATACGTCGGGCCATATTCAGTCTGACATTAAGATAATAACAAAAAGTACTGATGTACGAATAAAGTCCAAGCCTAAATTTATTATTCCATGAAGCCACGGGCCAAATGGAATGTTAACGCGGGCCGCATTTGGTCTGTAGGCCGTACTTTTGGACATCTCTGGCTTACATGGACTGATTAAAAAGCATCTAATGTTGTCTGCCTGACGCCACCCCAAACTACCCCATATTGTATGCAGTGCTGACTGTCCTGTACTGCTAGTACTATATCTATTACAACAACAATAACAATAATCACTACCATCACCACTACAACTGCAAGAACAACAACAACAACAACAACTAGCAAACAGCTGCCATTGAATATAGATTTAGAAAACCAGTACGCTGATCGTCCCCTAGAGTGACGATCAAGAGTGCGTGACTAAGTAGTTGACTGATCCATTCCAACGACGAGGGGTTCTATGTTAGTGGACACAAACGCAAGAGACTAAATTTGAAATGCACTGCGATTGGCAACTAAGTGCAGTCGTGTAAAAACAGAGGAGGATAATTGGAACCGGCTGAGAGCTCATGGTTCCAAACAACAATAATGAGACAGCTTCATAAGTAGACCTGATGGATCGTACTCCGAGGATTTCCATAGAATCTCATTGGGAACAAACAAGGGAGCAAAAGTGGTGATGACTTTACTAAGTAGCCACGACATTGTCGGTGATTGATGAAAGTTGAGAAAGGTGAAAGCGTTTGTTGGCTCGATCGAGTCGGTTGCAATAAGCAGAAAAGCACTCAGAAGATATAAACAATGACATGAAGACTGCGGCCCGAGTAATTCACAAGATACTTTGCGACTTTGCGGTTTGTAAACGATGGAATGAATTCAATAAGAAAAGCGACGGGAGGACATTGCGTCCTGCTGCAAGGATAGGCATTTCAAAGGAAAAATGGCAGCTCGTTCAATGACAGAGCGGAAAGTGGACGTCGTTGTGCTTTAACGAGAAGGTAGAATCTGTTACAAGCGACCATGCAGCTCAAAGAACGATAGTAAGGCACGAGGCTGTTAGAATTTGGGCAACATACAGCCATGGCGTGATAGGAGGCATGATTGATGGAGGCGGCTGATCGAATACTAAGTGGACGTTTTGCTATCAGTAGTGACTCACGGATTGAACTCGGTACCAAAGAGTAATGTCAATAAATAATGAAAAGCTGTGTCAATGATACCATCTACAAGACAATGGCATGTGTTGTACTGAGGAACATAACGCGCAGCCGCACCAAATGCCTGAGGAAATTAAAACCGTCTGAAACAGTGGTAGTTTTATGAAAGTGTCACCGGGGATGGAGTGAAAAAGGAATGACAACTATTCATTCCCCAATCAAATGCTCCATGACAATTTGCGCGGGGCTATGCAGTGAAAAGTGTAGTTAGAATCGACTGGGGGAACAGGGAACGAAGTCAAGCACACAATGCAAGACCGTGATAGAACAACATCGTCAGGCGACAGACAGACAGAGTTACTTCTTGCCACATTCATAAACAAAATAAACATAAGCATCCGCTATTCATGCAAATAAGTAGCTAAAACAGCTAGGGTACTTCGCATCGATAAACAAGCCTGCACAACAGGATGTGCATTATTAGAGGAAACGACCACAGTAACTATTGCGGGAACGTCAAAGGATTCCGCAAAGATACGCACTCGAGGCAGGGACTCCAATACTTGCATGCGTAGTTAAAGGGCTGCGCGCCGCGTGGCAGTCGAAGCGCGACTATGCAGTAACCGAATTACGATGCAGCGGGGTTTGGTGAACAAATTCGTCCCGCCAAAACTCACGAGCAGCATAGTGAGCCACTTGTGCCACAACTAGGAGGATGTCTAAACCTGTATCACCTTTCTGCAGAGTCAGTAAATGCTCTCGCGAGAAAGGTCTGTCTTGCATCCCATGAGATATGGGGTTCATTACAGCAACCATGCAGCGATGAAAAAAAAACAGACAGACGTAACCTGTGACTTCGCATAGTATGAGACGATAACCAAGCAAAAAAGCCAAAAAGGGTCGAAGAGGAGTACGGCATCTTCTCCTCCTCAAATGGATTCATTAAGAGAATAAGGAGCTAAGTATGCAAGCAGTGTTATTAGACTTTAAGGCACTTCAGCAAAAAAAGTACCTCTCACCTCATTGTCTGTTTCCTCCTGTTTCAAACAAGAGGAGGTGCGCACCAATCCGGAAGAGGATGATAGTTGGTCCAGCCAATGCTCTGATTTCTGTTGGTCTTCCGGCCTTACCATCTCATCTTCCATATTCTTGACAAGGGCTCTTGGTGTGTCCTGAATCATGTCATCACATACGAACTCGTCATCCCTGTCTGACTTTCGCTGTTCATTAGTTGAGTCCTGGTCTGAAAGACTACTCTGAACTTCCTCCGCATCACACTGGCTTGTTGTGGTAGAGGAGTCCGCCTCATCAACCTGCGGAGCTTCATGGTCAGTAATAGACTTGGATCGTCTTGAGGAAGCAGATTTGGATCCACCACGAGACAGACCAGGGTCTATGATAAGAGTGATGGGAAAATCCATAACTTTGGAGAATAAAGAACGGTTGTGTGTTAAATCGAAATGCTGTGTGGAAGACTACTGATTTTGTCTCACGAAGGACCTGTGAGCTGCAAGTGATGTTATAGCATGAAATGGCAGCGACAAGTAGTACCCGCCGTCATATCGCATCGTTCAAAGTAAAAAAACGGTTTTTTCTGACCACTATTATTTGCAAAAGCGTCGCTTTGACTGATGCGACTATCCAGTGAGTAATATTGGAATTCACCGATCGTCGGTTTCTCAAAAGACCTCACCCTGGTGTCACACACACATACTAGATAAATGCACTTAATGTGGAGCGGACTACGGTACGCTGCATTCGATTTACTAACCGCGTGCTTGCATGCTAAGTCGCTTTATTTCAGGTGGTGGGTTTTCAATTTTGTCCTAATGCTTTTCTTTCTCAAATAAATGTCCATCTGTACGCTCTTCTATAAACCTGCACAACTCGCTTAAGCCAATGGTAGTTAATTTCGATAACATTTTCGCGTTTGTCATTTCCGTAAAATATACTTTCCGATCCCTGAACTTATCTCGGATCCTTTGTTGACAACTTATTTCATATGCCCATTAATTTAAGATTTTTGTCACGTTTCCTTATGCATTACTCGATATCTTTTCTTTGTTAGCTTTCTCTCAAGTGCTTGGCTGTCGCTTGATATCCCCGGTATGGCTGCGCTTGATGTGCATGTTGACAAGGTGCCTACCTGTCTAGTACCCACTACCTCGTCCATACTGGCTCTAGGAGACAGGTAGTCGTTGCTAGAGAGGACGGGGTGCACGGTCCTTGTGGCCGTGTTAGGCTCGAAGAGTGGTTCCGTGCACTCAATGTGGAGCGCACTACGGTCCAGCCACCGCCATGTGCGTACTTGATTCCCAAATACAGCTGGCTTGTGTTAGCAAAAATCGGAACGCAACACAGAAATCGATGGTTAACTCGGAGGACACGATACTATCCAGTCGCCCAAGATAAACTAGGGGATGCTTTGGCTGAGTAGCCAAACTGGAAAGCAAAGGGGCGAAGTTAGAGGAATCGCGACCATTGGAAGCCGGTGACTGAGTACTTAATTCATAGGTTTTTCGTTTCGCCGATTAGCAAACAGGTGCTTAATCGTACACATAATTTCAGCACTGTGCTGTTGAAATACAATGGTCCACCGGAGCAAAGCAAGGGGAATGACTGTACTGAGTGGCGAGTTACATCCGGTACTTGTAGTGTTATTAAACGTACATGTATGGTTTTTTATAAGGAGGACGCTTGTCAGGCGGAAACCCACTATGTCCTGGAACACTGGCGCCGAACCATTTGCTGAAATGGGATAAACCAGAACCACGCAGTTACGAGCAGGTTGTCCGGCGGACCAATCCTGTTCGCATGATGGCCTGGAGTTGGTTACATGAGTAGTCAGAAATCACTTCCAACTTGAAACAGTCGAGAAACTTGTGATGAAAGTGGGTTAGTTGCTTCAAAGTAATAGAGCTCTCACTCTACGATACGTATGTTTGTTTGACCTATTTTCAGGCCGTTTCTGATCGCATATACGGCTACTATGCTACTATTTAAACGTACTGTTGGAGATATCATTTCACTTGTATAGTGAAGAAATTCAAGGCCACTGCGTTTATTATACGTTGGTATATGATTAATCTGGATCTAGGAGGATGGTGATGAATGAAAAGGGGAAATTCGAACCCTCAGAGTTCACTTCAGACCACAGTACAGCGATAAAGCGCGTTGCATTGATTCTGCGCTGGTCCGAGTATCGAACTGCAAAGGCTATAAAGCTTGTAAACCGTGCCAGCAAGTAAAACCAATTGAAATGTGAAGCAAATGAAGGAAAAAGCGGAAATGAGCGAAACAACTAGGGAAGTTAATCAACTATGACCCATGTGCCGAGGTGCGGTGAATATGGTTACTCAGACTTACGTCGCCATAATAGTGAGCATTAAGAAAGCAGAAAATGTGAGAAAAATGTGACCAACTCCGAAAGAACAAGTAAACAAAGTCGTCGGATGTGGGAGTTAAGGGTAGGCAGTGAGGTAGCGAACATCGAATCTCGACAAATCCACCGGAGCTGCTAGCAACCGATCCCAAGCATACGAGACGCTACAATCCCCATTCGGTGGCTTGGTTAATTACTTTATACCACTGGTTGATCACCTCGGTGCAGTATAAGCAAAGAATACAAGTTGACGCAGCCCGTCGACAGGTATGTAAAGAACATGACTCAATCAAAGATGGCGCCGATACATAGTGTCAATGAACAACAGTAGTGAACCGGTGCTTTCATGAATTTCAGCATAAAAATAAAAAGAGACAACTTGTCCCTTCATTTTATAAATGTGTTGTGAGCTTCAAAGCGAATAAAAGAACATCATTCGTCAACAGCAACATTGTTTTCTCCATGTCTAGAATGGAACAGTAAGGAGTGACTAGCAGAGAAAAGCAACTAGCCAATTGTCAACGCGGAGCAAACAATTCTAGAGGCAGAGTGAGGATACAAGAATATTGCCCTCGAAACTTTGGTAGCATCGAGAACAAATAGCGAACGGGATGCGTCCAGGGAGAAAAATTGAGTAAACAAACTCACGATGTCGCCCAGCTTGAAGCGACAGGTGTCGACGAGACAGGCCACTGAGTAAACCAAACGGAGAAGGGGAAAGAGCCGGGTCCTGATCAACCATTTCTTTAATCTTCTGGGTATCCACTCGCAAGAAAGTAGGGAACGGCATTTTGTTAGAACCGGTAATACTTGTACGGCCTCGAATTCGATTAGACTGTATCGTGGTGAGCGAATCGTTTGCATCGGAATAAGCGCCAAAACTGGAGGCAACGGATGAGGATCTGCTCAGCTGTGATTTCCGTCGGCCACCAGGCTTGGGAGCGAGCAGTGTCAAAGGTTGGTTGGCGGCCTGGAGTTGTTCGGCAATCTTATATAACCTGCGGCAAATCGAACGCTGCAGAGACGGATCCATCCAACAGGGAAGACGCGCCACAGGGCCAGAAACCTCTAAACCAAGCTCGCTAATCAAGCGATCGTGCTCCAACATTGCGCTCTTCTGCTTCCCTCCAAGGCGTCCCACTTTGGTCACTCGGTTTTGTCGTCGTTTGCGACGCTTCACAAGCCGATGGCTTTCGACTGGTGTGTTTGGTGCTCCATCGTCTGACTTTTCTTCAGATGTGGAAGAATGAGATTTGGAGCTAGCCAAGAGAGATTCAGATGGAACCGTTGCCTCGGATATACTAGATCTCCCGGGAACTTCCACCGGCCCAGGTATGGTTCGGCCAACACGATACACACGGCAGATTGAAGCAGACTCTGAATCGAGACATCCGGGGAAGTGCAAGTAATTAACGTTGGAGAACAAATCGCTGCCCAAAGAAACAGGTTTCGCGGCATCCCAATCGGCCTCACGGTCCAATGATTGGCGAAGATTTTCGAAGGTTCGCTTAAGGAGAAGAGGGGAATGCGAGTTTTTGGGGGGATTCAAGTAGTGAACATAGTGGTGAACGAAACACACGGGTAGAATTTAAAGGAAATGTGCATAATCCAACTGGACCTAGCGTAACAACAACCTTGCAAACAGTTAAGAGAGCCAACGGATACTGAGATGGGTCGGTTATCCTAAGGAGATCACTGGGCTGCACTTCTAAACCCCTCAGAAGTGAAAAAGGTTAACTAAGTAATAAGAGGGCGCGAAGCGGACACGTTAATACCGTCGATGCGTGACGATCAAGTGTAATGTGTGAGCCACAAGCAGAACACAAAGGATTTGAAGGGTCAAACTACCAACAGAATACTATCTATTCAATGCAGAGGCTCGAAGCGAAAAATAAGACAAACATTTAAACGTACTGGGGAGTTTGGAAGCTGGTATCTCGCAAACGACTCTTGGCTGGCCAACACAATTCCAGCTACCTGACAGTTTTTGACTAAGTTCCAGATTTATGTTTACTCGCTTCTTTTCCCGTGGCATAATGGATTACAAGTCTGCCTTGTAATCCGAAGGCGCAGGTTCGAACCGGCGTAGGGACCGGGTGACCCTCGCAGTACCCTTAGTCCACAAGTGGTTGTCGGTGCTTGCGCGGCAGCGAACCGTCCGTACTGCGTACCGGTGTACTGCTGATACCTTACTATCGCAATGAGGCTGAAACTTACCGTAGTACGACGGTTTGCGTGCCTCAGCGGTCCACTGAACTGTACTGAGTGGTGCATCTAGCACCTTCAGTCACTTGTACCAGATAAATGGTTAGAAGTCTGAAAAACTCAGTCTCCTGGTCCTCCGGGTTGGGGTGAGGGTGGCTAATTATTTAGTAAAACGGACTCTCTGTAGCCCACTGTCATACCCGCTGCCTTGCGATCAGGTTTTGGAACCAAAGAGCTCGGCTGAGAACCGCAGTCATTCTCCTGTCTAAGCCTGGGCAATTTGACAGTATCCGGCCCATGCAATATAATGAATCGAACCTCAAACAATTTCTTAATCCTCTGGTCGTCGCAGAGAATAATCAAAAATGTCCTATCTGCTGCAGCGAGAAGAAAAGATAGTGGTAAGGATGCTACTGCTCAAGCCTTCTCATCTTTTTACCCCCTTCTTATGTTTTATCATCTTAATCGTGCCGTACCAACCTCACTATCATTCCCCCAGTTTTCAACCCCCAACTCTGGCCCTCAGCTGCTTTGATAGGCGTTTATCTCCCAGTTCCAACACACATGCAAACGCGGAGAGTCACTCCTGCCCTGTCGACAAGCTCATGTCCAACCGAGCAAACAAGCACAGTTCATCGGCTTCTATTTGGAGTCCTTGATCCTTCTTCAGATTGACATGCCTCAAGGTACGCATATTATTACAGGTCAGTCAACAGGGAGCACTTGCCCGAACATTAGAGACCCTCTCGATCGATACCAGTTGCCTATCGGAAACCCGCCTACAAGAGTCGAACGCTGTTCTCACTGCGTTCTCCTTCAGGTGACACTAGCACTGCTGTCTTACCGCGTCCCCGGACTGAAGCTGTTCTGATCGATTGGATCCCAATCAGTAGCCGGATGTGTGCGGTCCGACTGGGTGGCTCGTTCAGAGCTTCGAAGTCGCGCGTTGGCTAATAGGTGCTTGTTTGTCATCGCTGCTTACATCCGCCAACAAACTGTAGCCATGAGTAGGTGCAAGACGACTTCTATCGTCAACTGAATGAGCTCCTTCGCCACAGAAGAAGTAAGGATAATGTAGTGCTGGCCGGGGATCTGAAAGGTCGAGCTGGAAAACTGTCCACTGATGACCTGCATCCGGGAGGCCAACATGGTGTAGGCTCCCGCAATGATAAGGGTGAGCGGTTACTTCATTTGTGTGAAGATGCCTATTTCGTACAGGCAGTAGTTTTCGACACAGCACCTGCCGGAGAGTGACGTGACGCCCACCACCCTTAGATCCAGCATTGAGGTGAATCAATCACATTACAATCGGTTACAGCCGGAATGGTTGCGTGCAAACTGTCGCTCGATTTAAAGCATCGGTGTGGACACTGACCATGCATTTGTAGGTGTTGATCGGTGGATGCGATTGAGCGGACGACCGCGAAAACGCTGTGAGCACATAGACATCAGCCAAGTGTATCAAAGTACGCTGGCATTCGAATTGAGTAAGCGCTCACTGAACACAGTTGAAGGTCACTGACCGCATGTTCACCAGACCTTAGTAGCACCAGGTAATACTTCACGTAGCTAATCTGGCTGCCAACATGGACATTGGGTCTCTTCGCAATCTCTCGAATTTATCGAGGCTCGCCTGCACATTCCGACTGGAAGCGAACACAACGAAGCGTGATGGAAGAGGCTGATGACCTTGGTAAGCACACCGTCTGATAAGGGAAACGGGCAACAGGAGGCCTGGTGTTAGTGAGACTATATGCGACAATAGCGGACAGTCTATCCATAAGTTCTCAAAACGCTTGCAGAGTTGCGCTGAGCGCTTTGAAAGACATTTTAATAAGATGGGATTGTCTGCCTTTTCGCAGACCAATGATGGTCGTGATCTCTGGACTGTCTTTTTGGATCCATCCTTCGCTCAGAAGTCGAACGTGAGATCGGATTGTTGAAGATGAACAAGGCCGCGGAATCAGATGATATTCACCCAGCCCTCTCCAAATTCAGGGGACCAGCTCTTGTTGATGATTTAAACGAGTTACTAGTGTAACTGTGGGAGCAGGAAACTGTCCAAACCGAGTGCAGATGCTCTGCTATTGTACCGAGTATTAAGGGAAGCACACGTTCGGAATGTGTCAGCCATGGAGCAGCCAGTCTGATCTCCATCGCCACCAAGTTATTTGCCTCTGTCATCCTGTACAGACTGAACGGTACTCGTGAAATCCAGAGTAGTGTGGAGCAAGCCGGATTTCGTCGAGGTCGGGGATGCATCGACTACATCTTCACTTTACTTTAAGTGTTGGAGCACCGCCATATGTATCGCCGGCCCACCGTTGTCGTGTTCCTCGACATCAAATGTGCCTTCGGTTTGGTGAATCGATGTCTTCTGCTAAGGAAAGGTGTCCAAGAAATATGTAAATATTATCCGAGCGCTTCACTCGCGTAGCTCGGGCAGAGTGATAACATACGGCAAGCTGTCGCCGTTGTAACATTTCCCCTTCAACATCGCTATTGACGAAATCATGAAAATCGCGTTCACTGGACAATACTTAAAAAGTGTGGAGCTGCTTCCGGGTGAACGAATTGGAGTATGCTGACGATATTGCTCTCATCTGTGACAGCTCACAAATGTGCCAGGCAGCTCACGACAGATTGGCAACCGCTGTCAGCTGTTTCAGGCATCGTTTTGCATTCTGGAAGTACAAGGCTTTCCTCAAAGATTGACAGGGACCGTCTACAGTGTTGACGCTTGGTGGGGATCAGCCAGAGGTTGTACAAAAATCTAACTACCTGGGAAGCTATATCAGCGCGTTTTGGATCGAATACGAGGTCACGAACCGTATAGAAAGAGCTCGAGCCGCTTTTGCTAATCTTCGCTACCCATGGCGCCGGCACGACATCATTATCTCCCTGAAAGGTAAAGTGTACAATGCAGTCGCACGTTGGACCCAACTCCAGGGTTGTGAAACATGACCCATTAGGTCGGGAAACGTACAGACGCTAGTTACGTTCAGACACCGGTGGGAATACCGTATGAGCAAGGTGCGTGTTCGACGCATTGTTTATGGTATAGGAAGAAGAGGTAAACCGCTCAGCATCGTTATTTCACGAAACAGGCTCCGAGGGCTGGGCCACGAGTTGCGCATGCCAGCATATCGACTCCCGCGACGTGCGTTGTTTGTGCACCACGGGTGTGGATGAAAAAAGAAGAAAGAAGGTCAAGCGATGACTTGGTCAAGAGAAATGGAGGAGCTTTGACTTCTTAGGTTTGTTTACAACTTTTTTAAAACATTCGTGTTTTGGGAAGTGTACTTTCATTTAACAGAACACACGGCAAAATCTAATGAACACACCACGTGATCCACACGCCAACGTCAAAACAGCACTTGACCCCTCCCAACACTGGCACATCAGTGTTCGGAAGAGCAACACCCAAATATTTCCATTTCAGGTACAGTCCTCGAGATCGGAATGACCGAGGTCTCTATAGAGGTTGCGAGTCGCAGCCAAATCACACAGCGTGTTCCCTAAATTCAGCTTTGAAGCACTTGACCCCTATCCATTACGACGTCGGCGTATCAAAGCACGGGACAACAACCATGGGCGGTTTAGAATGCACTTGATCTGACATCCACTCACAAAGCGGATATACTTGTCACACCAAGACGCAACACACACAATTGGACGGCCGGACAATGGACGCGTACACTTCCATTCACGTGCACAGAGCTCGACGCAGTCATCTTCGCAATCGCCCGCAATCTGACTTGGACTCACAGCCATCACTTTCGTGTATTATTAGTACCTGCAATAGTATGATTTATATTAGTGCCCAATCTTCTGATTTTGTAACTAGTCTCCAGTAAAGCGGCACTAATGGTTCGAAGTCGGCCTCGGGTGGAGCCTCTCGGCTCCGAGGTTGGAGCCCGAAAGACGATGCACATGTTTGATTGGGTGCACTTGCTGACATAACTAGGAGCCGACCTCAGTGGCATTTGTATTGTTTCTTTGTTCCTCTCTCCCAATGACGATCTCATTTCCTAAGCATAATGTAGCTTTTTGTGGCACAATAGCCGGCTGTCAGTTCACCGGGACGATGTGCATCCGTAACTGGTGGCTCAGCTAGCGTACTTCTGTTGCATGTCTTTTTCTTTTCTCATGCATTAGGGTACAATAGCTGAGATGTCTCCCACCTGTAGCTAACGTGTATAATGATGATTATGGTTATTTCACAGGCAAGGTCCACTGTAATTAGTATCGATTACAAAGAAGTACTAGAGGGAGCTGAGTGGCATAGGTAGAAATTAATCACAGTTAGACTCAGACAGACAGCCATCACACGTCTGGAAAGCACTGTACAGCCGTCAAGATGTGATGTGACAATTCAACTCACCCTACTACTCCTTTGTAATCAAAACACAGACCAAACTGCTAATAATACCATATATTAATTGGCGATGTAAATTCGGGAAATTCGTCGCTTGTTGATGGGGTTACCCTATCCTCAGCACGGCAGTAACGTGCAAGTCAGTGGATAGTGAGGGGCGCTGCATCACAACGAGTAACTTAGTCCCAACGGTTTTGCGCTCCGGCTACCTCAATGGTTTCAACCACAGACTGACAAGAGTAGAGTTATGGGTTCGAGCCCTACAACAGTCAAATGGAATGCGCACTGCCAGCGACTCCAGAAAAGATGAAACGACCGTACAGTGCTTTTATTGGCATACGAAGGCTGTCGGACTGAGTCTAAACGTGATTAATTTCCATGTATATGCTATTATTACTATTATTTTGGATGTAGGAAGAGGACGGAACTATTGCAAATCGGTATAAAGATTAAAATTCAATACCTAAACAGAACTGAATCGAACAACCGAGGACTGGATGCTCGCTCCTGTCTGGAGAAGTGAATGAAGGCGTGCAAGAACTGCGCCGCAAAAAGATAGTCTGTTACTTCGTGTTAATAGTGAAGGAGAACAGCTATTGCGGATCCGGATGACAAACAGGCTCTGGTGCAACATCAAAAGCAACAATGAGAATTGCAGTTAAAATGATTTCGATTGTACAACAATAACGAAGAATATTCTCTAATCCTGAAAATGCTGGAAGCAGCATGGTGTCGTCAGTGGCTAGTTGCTGACCATTTGTTATTAAGCCGGGTTAATCCAAGGTCCTACTTGCGAAATGGCCAAGAAGCTTAACTTTGATAGTTTCTATGAGATGCATGCCTAAACAGTGTTTGGCCAAACTACTAGCTTGTATAGGTGTTGAAGGATAAAGTACAATCCGTAGGTGACTAGTCTGGCAGGTGAACGGACGGAACAAACTGTGGGATGGAAAGGAGCAATGGAATAAAAAATAATATGCAGCTGATTCGCCATAACCTTAGTAATATAGAAGATGTATTGAGTATCGCACGCAAGACAGCGTGAACGAGGGCTCATCATCATCACAATACACGTTAGATGACGGTGGGAAACATACCTCAGCTAATGTGCCACAATACAAGATACTAAAAATAACACTATAGGAAATGCAAAAATCAAGTAATATAATGTCATATAACACATTATTTATTTGCTATGAAATCGTGATTGCAGGGGGAATTTAAAGGAGATAGGGACGGACAAAGAAACGCACAACGCAAAGGCTATTGGGGCCGGCTCTCCGCCATATCAGCAAGTGTGTCCAACCAAACGTGTTCATCGTCCTTCGGACTTCAGCCCGGCAATCGGGATGCACCAACCGACGCCAACTTCGAAGTGAGGGTTTTCATTCCCCTTGCCCAAGTCATTGCTTGGCTTCCCCTCCTTCTATTCCATCAAGACTGCGGGCGCGCATACAACGCAGATTGCGGGAGTGGGTGTGCTGGCATGCGCAACAAGTGGCCCCGCCATCGGAAGCTGGCGAGCGATATAATGGTGCTGAGCGGATGACTCGCGCTTCCTGCACCAAATACACGACGCTGAACAAATTTATTACTCACGCTGTGCTCCCACTAGACATGAGCTAAACTGCGAAGGCAGCGATGGTAGACGGTATTCAGCCTATTGATATCTGTCGACCTGGTGGACCAGGTTTCACAACCGTAGAGGGTTGAACAGTGGGCTGCACGGTAAACTCTGCTTTTCAGGACGAGAGTGATGTCGCGTCGGCGCCACAGATGGCGATTGGAAAAAGCACGAGCTTTTGCTATAGAATCGCGCAAAAGCATCCGATAGAAGTACACAGAACTTTAAATATGCCGTCCCATTGTGTAAGTAAAATCGACTAAAACCCCAAAAGCACATTTGAACCGAGTTGGACAAGACAGAATGCTGTGTGGGACAAATAAGTATAGCCCGAAACCGAGAACAGCATGTGAAGCTTGCCGTTACCTTACTCGATCCGGAAGGGGTGAAACTTAGGGTTGTGGCACTTTTGGAAAATGAATGGAGGGGATATCATAAAGTACTTAAGTCTAAGAGATGAAGAGTTGAACAAGCTAACATCATAAAAATAGGTGAATAATGTCAAACGGAAACAAATAAGAGTTAATTTGATAAAAGTGAAACAGTATGGGTAAGTCAGTCATCGAATAGATCCATGTTAGAGCTGCTTACCAGTACGGTTTCACACAGAGCGTGGAGCAGCTGTATGCGAACATACGGAGGTAGTTCGTGAAAGCGTCGCGACTCCAGGGGATTAACTCGCGAGCCACAACGAGCGAAGAAAGTTGGTGGTAGCCCGATTCGACGAATGGCCTTAACAAAATAGACAGGCAAGGAGATGATTGAAACAAAGAAGGCGCAGATGGGAAGAGTGATAGGAATGGAGTCATTCTAAATTGACTTGCAAATGAACTGGGGGGATTGTTTCACTAGAAATGACCGCAGACACAATAGATAAATATAATAGAACAGTGAAACTACGGTGTAGCTGTCAACTAAGAGTTGCGACTGGTGATCAACCGGGCGTTGGAGTCACCTGTCATTGAGATGTCGTCAAGGTGGGTAATGCATATGGCGAGCCAATAACTGGGATAACAGTGGAGTAACAGAAAGTTCAAAAGATAAAGCATTTATTCTATTTGAGTCCGATATTTGACTGAGTAAACGGCTCGGTGGCGTCTCACCAACCAAGTGAAGCTAAATGTTGAAAATGAAATAGTTTTGTACTACTTGGAAACTATTCAATAGTTTGTTTACTATTTGGTTCAACTAGAAGGCATAGACATTGATTTTAATGCCAACAAGAAGCAAGCAATTGCGCAAAAAGTTAACGTCCAAACTGAGAAAGTGAACTTTAATACTTTTTCAGCCCCTCATCTATCGACTTCTGGTACTTCGGAGAGACAAACTACTCTAACCGTCAGACACGATATCACTAGATATTCTCGGAACACTACGAAGTATAAAGAGCAAAGGGGGTTACTCACCCAAGGTAGGTAGCCTTTGCCCTTGTCCCAAAAAGTGCGGTACCAAGAGGCCACTCGTTCGGAAAGACGGCGTTCCCACACATCATACTCCAGAGGAGTAAGAGAATTCGACAGACATTGTTGATTATTCCGTGGACGGCGGTGCCCAAGACCATCAATGAGTCCGGCATTGCTGCTGTCACCCGATTCCGCAGCGTACTTGCTTGATAGCGTGGATACAATTTGATTACGTTCTTTTGGGGTGGCCAATAAATTGCTCATGCAAATAGCTAACAGCTGACTCGCCTGAGGTGCCACAGCCAAGCCCAACTCAAGGTCGAATAAACATAGGCCACGAATATTTGATGAAGAGTGTTCTGTCACGGAAGAGCCATTGGAGTTTGCTGAATAAGCCATGAAATCAGTTATACCCAGGAACGGATCTGAGAGCCATAGGAATTGATAGGCTTCTAACAGCTGCACATAGAAAGAGAAATTCAGGATATATTTCAAGCGGTCGAAAAAATGATGCTGGAGAAACACCAAAAAGTCAGTAAAACAATTCACCTCCGAAGTATGGTTTAAGATATCCATAATTTCAGGCCCTTTCTGTTCGAGCCACCAAGTGTTCCAGGATGACAACAACGCCTCCTCTTGTCTTCGAACGCGCCAGTGGAGGAGACGGCTGAGGAGAATGGAAGCACGGGCTTCACTGGTGGACGCGGTTGCGGGGGATTGGAAAGAGGTAGGGATGGGACCAGAGGATCCGTGTTTCAAACTGTCCAAGCCGCCAGTGATAAGGGAAGCAGTGAAGCCACCGCCATCTGGCTGCAAAGCATGCTCCAACTCCTCCATAATTGACCGCATGGGAGTCAGCTGCCGTGAATCGCCAGAGAGAAACAGCCGAGTAGAGCTTCTTCGACGAGAGAGCCCGTTGGCCGCTGAAGAGGGTGAGCATATGGAAATGATGAAGAAATGGTGAAGAGTCAAAGGATAACAAAAATGGACGGACTGAGAGTCTGACACCACAGACATGAACGAGAATGGATTCAAACAAGAGATTAGTTGAAAGAGCATTTGGCGTTGTAAGTGTGCAAAAAGTGGACTGGAGACCAAGAGAAATGAATAGCAGTCAGTCAATTTCTGAGGATCAACAGCAGTTAGGTGTAAAATAACGCATCAGCACGCCGAAAGACTTTGTATGTAACGCATATCGCGGGGTCTCTTTGTTGAAGTATTAAGTCGCAATGCGTCCGCCAGAGTTCCAATCAGCTGAACAATGTCCAAAGATGGCGACAGTGCGATGGATCAGGTGACCCAATCGCAAAACGACATAAGATGGAAAGAGAGAAAAAAGTCAAAAAATGGCACAGGCGTGAGTAAGAAGACAGTGAAAGTGACACATTGTGTGCAGATTGCAAGTTGAAGCTGGAGAACAACTGCGGAGGGACACCGATCGAGTCATAAAAGATAGCACAGTGAAATCACACTAGTCATAAGCTTCATATGTCACACTCCGCCACATATTCGCTGAGCTATCTGGTCAACAGAATCAGTGATGGGCAGAAAAGGCGGAGTCAATTATGAACTAACGGTTGGAAACAAAAATTGGATCAGGCACGCAGATCAGCGGAGACCGAACCACGACATCTCAAGGGTCCGCATACAACATACAACGAAGCTCGGCCAGAAGAAAACCACCAAGGCAACTGATTGAGGTCAAGACAAAAACATCTCGATTGTAGTAAACATGCATGGTGAGGAATCAGCTTCAATTCGGAGGAGAAGGTGTCACGGAGGCAAAACGGCTGACTACGATGGCGCACTCTAGCAGAGCGAGATTAGCCAATTTATGTGAGCGGCTGACAGACTCGCTGCCATGATCAAATCGGGAACTGATGAAATCAGCCCTTCCGCGTGACACAGGTTGCTAGGTGACAGGCGTGAGTGAGCATGACTACAACTGCGGCCCGCTAGCAGGTATGGAATTTCTCCAGGCAAGTGGCGGAGACGATAGAATGTGAACTATAAATTAAACCATATTCTGTCCCTAATATATTTCGGTCGAACAGGTTTCGGTGTTCCGTTTTGTTCCCAGCTGGGTCGGTGTGGCAGAGAGCAGAGTAAAAGCAGCGTGACAACACCATGCATGAGGTAACTCCAAACGAGTGCAGAGTGGAAGCATAAAGCAGAGGGTGAGATTGACAGACATCAACCCGATTGACCCAAATCAAGGAACGATGACTGGAACACTCGGACGCAATGGAACCGGTCATTATGACACACATCGACAAAACAATAATAAAATAAAAACGATAATAACAACAATAAGAATAATGATAGGTAAGGAGGATCAAAAAATGAAAGCAAGGGAATGGGATGAACGTAGAGATGTTTGTTAAACATGGAGTGGTAACTAGAGGTAGGAAACCGAGTGCAAAAGCGCAACAAGCTTCCGGATAGTGCCATGTGGTACAGGATCCCGAAGCATTAGTGCAGCAAGTCTCGTGGGATCCTCCAGGAAAGCTGAATGCGCTAGCCAGATCGAGTTCGTCTGTCAGTTTCCACATGTCATTTCTGCACACCTTTGAGTAATCACCCAGAAGATGCAGCCGAACAGGGTAGTGTTGGTGAGCAAAATGGGCAGGTGTAGAAAAGCGAGGTTCAATCAGATAGCATAACCAGAACAGCATAGACGGTTCAAATGAAAACGACGAACCAACGAGGTACCAAAACAAGTGATCAGAATAACAAAAGACAGATGGTGATATTATTCGCTAGGCGCCGCCATCGATAACGACAGATGCATCACATGTGCACGTGGTAACAGGCGATCGGCATCTTCAACGCAGAATGCTCGATGAAACTGGACAAACTGCAGCGTCGCACACTTCGCTTATGAGTGGCAAACAGATATCCTACCGATTACATGGATACCATGGGAGTTGACATGCAACGCGTGTTACAGACCGTTACGGTAATCAGTTCGACGACTTAAGCACAAGAGGTGGTAAAACTACCTGGACAAGTAGACCGGTTGTCAATGTACACAGACACACAGTACGACGATCCTGAGAACTAGTGGAGTGTCCATTAAGTCATGCAGTCGTAAATTGGATGCTGGAAGTGTGGGGCACATGCTAGGCTGCATCATGTGGTGAAGAAGCTCAGGTCAGTCCTCATTCGCATAATCGCCTTTGGTTACTTTGTCACCACATAGAAACACCACCAGGGAAGATGGAGTTAGTTGTGGTAAAATCCAAAGAGGGATTTAAGTCGATCCTCACACTACAAAGGGAGTCGCTGTAGGGAGATGATGTGACAAAAAGAATGTTTCCAGCATACATATCAGCAGTAGGTAGCCTACATGTGTGCGGCTGTTCAAGCATCCAGAGAGACACTCCTTCACTGGAGCTGAATATAAGCCGACTTTCAGTGATTGCACTTTCCCGAGAATTAGTGATTCACGGAGGAATGATGCACGTGGGAGGTTTGGAGGCAAGGCTAACCCCATTATTTTCACAAACGCTTTTGGTTTTCAGCAGATAAGTGAAAAGAAAATGTTAGCCGTTCCTCTGAAAACATTCTGTTATGTATTATATAGTGTTGGATAGGCTAACAGAAAGCGATGCACTACCGTTGTACGAAGGCGGATGCAGCCAGCCACCTTGTTACGCAGCAGAGCATCAATTTGGCTCAGATATCGTCAAATAAAGAACGTGAGGTGTCAACAAGTAAACCCGGTTAACGCGACAGAGGAGACAACGTGACAACAGTCCTACTAAAACTGCTACCGAAGAATTTCATCGGACAACCAAACCAGCGAGATCCGAAAATAGATCATTTATTCACGTTTGTAGTTGAAATTCTCCCCGGATCTGTCCGTTGGATCACTTGAAAGATCACTCGAATATTTCAAATGATACTGGGCATCTATCCTTAGGCGTTGTCACCCACGAACGCTCCTTATCAATTCTGAGGTTCTAGACAAGATGCTGGCTCGAGTCAACGCGGACGCCCTTAAGCGGACCAGATAGCGGGATAATCTTCTGTGCTTCAAGATCTCAGTCTCATGAATCTAACCCGCATTGGAAAACCTCAAGCAGTAATGGAAAACGAGTTCCCAACCATTCGTTATGATGACTACAAGATATGTCAAATCGATTTATCCGTTTGGTACACCAGTGACAACTGGTAAAACCACCCGGTTTGGAAGAGTTGTGTGACAGCCGGTAAGTTTAGGTGATCATTAAGTGCGGGTTCGAGTTGGGAGAACCGGTCATGAAGGACATTGTTTTCGGGTGGGTAGCAGTTTACTGTGGACAAGAGAACCAATGCCACGCGAGAGTACACAATTGTATGGCAGAAAATGACATAAGTGTACTCAATAGACCGACCCTTTTGAAATGAAGTGTACCATCTCAAGATGATGGCATAGTGGATAAGCTGGGTCCAGGGATGAAAGTGTCGGAATGCGAACAGATGTGTTGGAGAGCAGTGTGGCTGTCTTACAGATTACGGTCAGTACAATTGAAATAATCAATTGAGGATATGAGTAAGTTAAGCAACAAGCACCAAAAGTATTACAAAGGAGGTGCTCGGTCATAGATGAACGGTTTAGTTGAACACTCAGGTCACCCGCTACGAACACAGTGTATGCATCGACGACGATTACGATGGGGGATAACGGTGGCCCAAAAAATCATTCCTGCCGACCAGCTGCAGGTAGTGAAAGCGTCTTCAAATGTTGCCCGTTGATTCGCAATGAAATTCCCACATCACAGATGTGAAGAAAACCGTTATCGTCCCTATGGTATGAGGAAGGCATTAGGAGCCTGGAAACAACTTATGCGTACATGTTATTAAGATGGCAGATAGCAACTCCAAGAGAACGTAAGGTAGGAGACAGCGTCACTCATTGAACCAAAAATCACCCAAGATGCGACACGGCTAAGAAGAGGAAGTGTTTCACAGGTATTAGTGGTTAACCGAATGCGGACTCCACCTGGACGACACTGAGCTTCAACATGAAGACATAGCCCACGCAACCCCACGATCCGTCCCAGGTGACAAACTCGAGCTACCCATAGTAGATAGCCCAAAGTTTGGAAATCAGACCTACGCAGTTTCAACAGCTTGCGAAAAATAGCAGAGGAGGATGGATCTGTTACCTCTAAACTGGGAAGTGAAAGGCGAAAATTGTGGGCAATAATATTAGTCTAACTAGTCTAGGTATAGAAATGCAGTGCGTTGTCTCTGACAGTGGGGGAGTAAGACTGCTGCTCAATAGTTTATCGTCACTCACCGCAAGTAAACAGTCCAGTGCCAATAAGGCACAAATCCTACAGTCGGCCGCGGTCGAAGGTGTGCCACCCATTACGGTCGATAAACAGAACGGAATTGTTTTGAAGCTTTTGAGACTGTTTATAACTGGACCACAATTTTCCTCAAAGATGACGCGAACGGTTCCGAGGTAAAAGCCTGAGGGAACACCAGCCACCAAGGCAGTATAAGTAGTGTGAAAAATAAGGTAAGTTTGCAGTTCAACCCACCAGCCGGAACGGCTAGGTCAGTCAGATAACAGCAGTTTTGAAACGATTCACTCAACCCGGCAGTAGAAGTGTGACGACTATGAATAGTCTGAAAACAAATTAGATGCGGCCACTAAATATTATTGATCCGGTTCTTTGCTCATTGCAATAATGGGCATACCAAGGGGTATGCTTCTTTTAAAAAGACACAGGCGTACTTTGACTGATCCAATTAGAGAATGTACTGATAATCACGCCAAACTGGTTTTCGTGACACAGATAACTATGCCTTCGCTGTTAATGTCACCGAAAGTGTTAGAGTAGCATGAATAGATAAATTGTCGATCACTATGGGTGACTCAATAACACTCGCGGAATCGGATGGTGACTCCACCCGACAGTGAAGTTTCCCAGTAGGGCGAAAGATGTAAGGGAAAAAGAATATCTATGTATCAATACATTCCATATGCACAAATGCCGAGTTCGGATCCAATGGGCATATACCTTCTGCATAGCTTATTTCTACCGGTTGATCGCCAGGAAGTTTTCACTATGGAAAAAGTGGTTGAAGCCGAATGCTTGAAGATCGACTACAGCGAGAAAAAGCTGGAAAAGCAAAAAAGGCCAGTCGAAACTTGATCTAATCGCAGTAGACATTAAAAAAGAAGGCGGACACTTATCAGACACTATGCGATAAAATATTTCCAAGTTCATCACAGTAGCGTAACTAATCCGGAAAGACACCAGACGATCGTTTCGTCCTATAGGGAGGTGTCTGTAGTGCGCATCCCCCAGCTCCGTCAGGAACCGAACCCAAGAGCTCTTTACGCTAGCCGCTTGCGTGACTGGTCAGCAGCTTATGCTACAAAGCCATAAAGGACAGCGGCAGGCGATTTTCCATTAAGGCAAACCACCTAAGTACGGCATTTGTGTGCGCATTCAGTCGGAGTTCCCAAACACATATGTGGATGAACGTCGAGGTGTTGCTGATTGCAATCTGGTGATGCAAAAAGGGAAAATGGGTGACAGGGCCAGGTGAAAAGAGCACACACGAGAGGAGCACCAAACATTCAACAGGACAGGGGTGATGGCTAATAAGCTGTTTTCAGAATGCAACCAATAAAAGTAAACATCAGGAGAAAAATGCCGCATACCTGAGTCAGTTAATTCATCTTCTGCGCTACCGCAACCGAGTGTGGAGTGAATGGAGGTTTTCAAACGAATTTCCCTAGGGGAAAACAAGGGGAGACATAAAACAGAATAAAATTGTGTGCGGTTCTTGCAAATGAGAGTAGAAGCAAACGTGTAAGGCAGTTGCTAAACAAAATCGCCGACTGATGAGTACATCAAGTGGTGTTATGGTTCCACATTCGAAATGAGATCAAACCCTTATGTTCCGCGACATTTCAGTGTGCTTCGGATACCGAGTACTCCCTGCTGTAGCAGCAGATGTAGTAGCAAATGATAAAAATAAAAGAGGAACTATAACATCCCGGAAATAAAGAAGTGCCGGAAAACGGGTGGCGATCAGACGAAGATCATGAAAAGGATCAATTCGGTAAAACAACAACAGTGACCACGGCGCAAAAGTACGGCGGATGCTTATGTCATGAATTGCAATGTGATGACAACAATACCAAACAATGATGGGGAACACCGGCAGTTAGAGTGTGAAATGAAGTCACGGACGACGCAACTCGGTGTCATCGGTCCGTCTCGTCATCCAGGCTGGAGTCCATGTGACTCATCTTGTGCCTGGCTTGAGACGGTACAGGACATAGCTCACAATCGACACCAGTGGCGCGTCTTCTGTCGTTTCCCAGTCGGATTGTTTGTTTAAAGTGTATTTGGTGCTGAGTTATCTGAGACATAATGGCTGATGATGACGCGGGTCAATGAAAGCCGCAAGGAAGCTGTCTCGCCGATGCCGCCTCATCTTTGCACGATAGTCAGCTGCTTGTGATGGTATGTTGTTAACAAAGTGTAAGCGCCTTGACTCCGAGTGTTTACTTAAGGCATTAAGGTTTTACGCTAGGTTCCCCTTCTCATCCTCTTATTGTCTCTACCCTTCCGTAGGTCATCGTGGTTGCATGGCTGTTGAGGATGATGCAGATAGAGTGTGAATTAGCACACAAATAAAAGATTGTGGAGAAAGTGAACAAAATTAATGGAAATGGAATGTTAACAGTTAAACGTGAGAAAGCAAATTTAGATTGCCATTGACTTTGCAACTGTGGCACGTGGGATATAGCCACCCAGCCGATCCCGAGGTTCCTATCCGACAAGAAAACACGTGGTGGACTGACCAAGATTCTTAAGCAGTTGTTTCGTTGCCTTTCAACTTGGTCGGATAGCAAACACGCGGTTTCAGACAATTAGGTGGAGCAACGGCGAAAGGGCGCAAGTCAAAGTATGCGGTCAGTGAGTATACAAAGGACAAGGCACAGGCAATGTAGGCGATGTGAGTTGGACAGCCGATCCAGTGTGGCACCAGGTATGTGTCAAGACACAGGATGGTTGACCTAAGTATCAACTATTTGGTGATCCCAACAGATGCGAGCAGTGCTTCCAAATGTCTTCGGCGTAAAGTGGACATGCAGCCGATCAATCCAGTAACATAAGCCGCGTCGCAGCGCTGTAGATCCTGCTCGTAATGCAGAGGTTGCTATTCAGCCGTCTCTATAAACGATCAAGAACGAGAAATTACAAGGGTTTCGTTTATCCGTGCAGGAACCTCGGTTATTTGGTCACTACAGTTAACACAAATACTGTCCAAAATTAGTTGTAGGATAATGAAAAATTATGACGAGAACGAGGTCGATACAGATGAAATTAAGGAGCAGTTTGGAGTGAAATATAAGGGCATCAGCAGTATGCTTGTACGCAGTACCGACGTTTCTCTGCCACGCAACCACCATCAGTCATGGGTGGGCTAATGATACTGCGAGGGTCGCCCGGGCCTTCACGCAGGCTCGAACCCGCGACCTCCGGACTACAAGTCCAGCCGGGAAACAGGAAAAACAGGTGAACGTTACGCAATTACGAGTTCAAAAATCGAACTCAAAGTACATTCAAAGTGAAATGAAAATAGAAAGGCGGACGAAATGCTTTCATGGAAGGTAGCGTTTAAGAAGAGTAGTTACCACATTCAAAAGCCAAAGTGTACACAGTGGGAGATTAGTGGAAACAGGCCAATGGAGGTCGACTCAAGAAGAGACGAAATGCGATGGACTCACGGAGACATGAGTTGCAGCTTCTGTTCAAAAAGCAGTTCCAGCTTTTCAGCTGACCGACCCATGCGAGAGGCTATGCCATTATAGCGGTAGCAATTAAATAGCATGAGCCGGAAATCACAGACGAATTCCCGAATGTTTTGGTAGTAGCCTTGGGAAAACTTCTCTGCCACTGTGGATCAGAATGGAAATAAGGCCATTTATATGGTAAAAGTTGCAAAAATGCCAGCACGTAGTCATCATCATCATTATACACGCTAGGCACAGATGTAAAACACTTCAGCTACTGTGTCGCAATACATAAACGAAAAAAGAAAATGAATACAACAGTTGCATGTCAGCTGAGCAACCAGCAATAGATGAGCATCGTTCCGGTAAGCTACCAGCCGGCTACTGGGCAACAAGAGTAACTATTATGGAAAATTATATTATGCTACGGAATGAGATCGTGGTTGGAGGGGGGGCTAAGAGGGATGGGGAGGGACAAAGAAACTCACCACACGAACGCCACAGAGGTCGGCTCCTTGCCATGTCAGCAAGTGTATCCAGCCAAACGTGTTCATCATCTTTTGGCCCCTAACCAGGGGGCCGAGACGCTCCAACCGAGGCCAGCTTCGAAGTGAGGCAATTCATTCCTCACGAACAAGTCATCGCTTGGACACCTCTCTTCTTCTTCCATCTACACCCCCGGCACGCAAACAACGCACGTCGCGGGAGTCGGTGGGCTGACATGCGCAACGCATGGCTGAGCCAACGGAGCCTGGTGCGTGAAATGACGGTGTTAAGCGGTTCAGTTGCTTTTTCTGTGCCGTGAACAAGGCGTTGAACACGCTCGTTGCTCACGCGGTGTTCCCACCAGATGTGAGCCAAACTGCGAAGGCACCCATGGTCGAACGTAACTAGCATCTTTATGTCCACCGATCTTAGGGGCCAGGTTTCGCAACAGTACAGTAAGGTCGAACGTACCGCCGCATTGTGCACTCTACCCTTCAGGGCGAAAGTGATGTCGCGACACCGCCATAGATGGTGAAGACCAGCAAAAACACCTCGAGCGTTTGATATACGGTTCGCGATTTAATCTTCAATCCCACGGACGCTGATAAAACTTCCCAGGTAGTTGAATTTCCGAACGACTTCCAGCTGGTCCCAACCAAGGGTCAGCGCAGGAGGCGATCTCTGCCTATTCTGGAGGAACGCTTTGCATTTCGATGGTGCAAAGCGAAACCCGAAGCGGCTGACAGCCAGTACTGACCTGTCCAGTGCAGGTTGACACGTCTGGGAGCAGTCACAGATGAGGGCAATGCCGTCTGCATACTCCAAGTCAAGAAGTCGTTCTCCTGGGAGTAGCTTCACACCTTCTAAGTCGTGTTCTGTAAATGCAATCTCCATGACTTCGTCAATAGCGAAATTAAAGAGGAAAGGTGACAACGGGCATCCTTGTCTCACACCGCTGGAGATATTGAAGGGTGGCGACAGCTTGCCGCAAGCCCTCACTATGACCGAGCTACGCGAGTAAAGCGCTCGCATAATATTTACATATTTCTCGAGCACACCTTTCTCAAAGTGCAAGTCTATCCACTGAGTCGAAGGCATCTTTGATGTCGAGGAACACGACTAGGGTGGGCCGCCAATATGTGTGACGGTGCTCCAACAACTGACGCAAAGTGAAGATGTGGTCGATGCAGCCACGACACCGAGGAAACCCGACTTGCTCCTCACGAATCTGGCTTTCACGAGCGCCAGTCAGTCTGTGAAGGATTACAGAGGCAAACAATTAGGAGGCGATGGGGTCAGACTGATTCCTCTATAGTTGACGCATTCTGAGCGCGAGCCTCCTTTGAAGATGGGAACAATAACGGAGCGGCTCCAGTCGTTTGGGACAGTTTACTGCTCCCACAGTTTCACTAGTAATTCGTGTAAATCAGCAACAATAGCAGGGCCCCCGAATGTGAAGAGGCCTGGATGTAGATCATCTGGTCCCTCGGCTTTGTCAACTTCAACAGACCGATCGCACGTTCGACTTCGGAGAGAGAGAAGGCAGGTCCAAAGGGACAGTATACGGAGAGAGGCGATCACTGGCCGGTGAGAAATCTAACAATTCTGGCCGATTAAATTGCTTTTCAAAATGCTCAGCTCAACGCTCCAAAGGTTTTGACAAATTGTGGATAGGCTGTCCATTCTCCTCACAAATTGTTTCACTAACACCAGGTCTCCTGCTGCCCGTTTCCCGTATCAGACGGAATAACTTGTGATGGTTACCAAAGGCAGCGGCTACTTCCATCTCTGACGCACGTAGTACGCTGAGCAGGATGTCGGCTGGCGGCATGAGTGATGCAAAACTTGCAATAGAAATAAAAGACTGGAGGAACGAGGTGGCCAACACACGGGTGAAGGAAATGTCGTCAGTTTAAAAATAATTAGGTGAAAGTTTAAGGAAGAATGGATGGGAGACGAACATATAAGAGCCCGGGAGTCTGTGTAATGGTACGCAGACTACGAGAGCCGTAAACCTGCAAGTGAGCTCTCTCTGGTGATTTCACCCGAAAACCGTCGATGGAGTGGATGTCGAGTCAAGAACTTTCCAATTCACACAATAAACAAACACAAGTAGAAAAAAATTAACCGTATAATAGGTGGTCGACATATGGTCAGTATGATGATAGGTTATAGAAAACATTCGAAGTATATGGTCTTATGCGCCCTCCAGAAATCTTGGTACCACAAGTGACAGCAGCGATATCCATGCGGCGTATTCTCACCCTCACTCTCATCTCTATCCTTCTCGTATTATCATCAAAAGAAGTAGATCAGCAACCTGACTTAACTGCTATACCGCCACGGAAAGGCATCAACAGTACACCGATAAGCAGTACCGACGCTTGTCTTGTAATCTGGTGGCGCAGGTTCGAGACTGCGTAGGGGCAGGGCGACCCTCGCAGTAACCTTAGCCCGCGTGTAACCGGTGGTGATTGCGGGGCAACTAAGCATTGGTACTGCGTACCGGCGTACTGCTGATGCCTTTCTTTTCAGTCAATAAGCAGATGGCCATCGTGTAAACTGAAGGTGGCACCAATGAAGTTGCTTCCATGTGGAATTCAATGCCCTGTGTTATAATTAACCTTATCCCAAAGACAGCAGCATCAAGTACACTCTAAGCAGACAATCCGACTAGCGGATGACAGCGAACGTATCGCTGGTGCCGACTGCGAGCCATATACTATAAAGTCTCGAGCCAGTTACAAGGAGTCACTTGGAATCCAGTGCTGTTTATTCGTCAAAGACTTCATTTCCCATTGACGTACCAACAACTGTCTCCTTCAAACCTTGCACGGTGACAGAACCAAAAAGTAGAAAGGGGCTCTTCTCAATAGGCTGTGTGCGTAGCATGCGTTCGAATCGAGGCAACTTGACAAGCCACGTCGATATAACGAAGTGACCTTACAATCGCCGGCTGTCACCCTCCAGTGCATGCACTGATGCTCATCCACAGAGGCAACGCCCTTACTTCTGGTTACATTGAAAGAAGCTACAAGAGTTTGGTTGATCCTCGCCTTCGTAATCTGCCGAACTCGTCCTATATTTGTAATCAGAAAGCTCATTTCGAATCACCTTCCTCACCATTTTCATATGGTGCTTCAGCGGACAGTGTGCAGTGTGCTCAATTACTGACTACATCCCAAAAATCACCTCTGAAGTGTTCTCTTTCCACTGACATTCAAAGCCTATCCTCTGTCGACTTTCACAAATTCCAGTTGATTGCTTATTTCATTTTCATTTCCCTGTTGAGGGGTAATGCAAGAACAAGTTTCTAAAAGGAGTAAAAGGTCATGAATCATCACTTTGTGGCCGATTATCTGAAATCAAAGAACTAACCATTGGCTCTCTCAATGTTATGACTTCTGGTGATTTGTTGTAGATGCGGTTTTCAAAGACGTTATAAATTGCATTTAGATGACTCTTATCGCTCCTCGGCTCCATGTACAACTCTGGTCTAAGCAAACAATTTTCCCGTCTTTTTAATCTGAATTTCTGTATCGGTTATATTATTCACAATAAATTTCAAGCTGTGAACGATCGGTCACGAGTGCATGTAGTTCCTTGACCAAGAATCTGCATCTCTTGTGAAGAATAGAGGATTACGTATTATCATGAAGGGTGCTTGTTTTCAGTGATCCTGGAATTCCCATATGCCAACAAAAACCGAAATAAAGGGCGGATACTGAGTTACAAATACTGTTCGGTAATTTTCATCGAACATTTATGTAATAGAGATTACGCCGAACAGAACTGAATATTCATTATGGTATTTAATGCAACAGTTGAGTCTATAGAGCACACAGACGTGTAGTAGACTAAGTAGAAGGAAGGATACCTAGATATATCGTTGTTACAACCAACCAAAGGGTGGGATAACAACAAGACGAATACGCTATGTTCGTTGCTGGCCACGGCAGAAGTAGCAGGCGTACAGACCGCTTTTGTGTGCACAGCTCCGGCTTTAGGTGGCAGATGTAGCGTTGGCAATAGATAGATGTCTACGAAAGCCGTGCGAGAAACGATCTGGGATAGAGTAGATGAGTGAGATGATTTCCAGAACTTACATGACCGTACTAGAGAAGGTGCGACATGATGAAGCTATTGTTATTATTATTATTATTATCATTATGATGTATATTATAAAGTGAAGCAGCCTGCAAGTCTCTCGTTGAAGAACTCAGTGGTCAGTATCGTAGAGAAAGGCCTTCATTGTGGTCCTGTAAACGTGATCCATAGAAGCATGGGAGATTCCAGGCGATTCCAACTTTTGACACACGAAAGTTTGGTGGGTACACGTCAGCCGTCACTAATTCAGCCGCCAAAATAGGTGAATTGATCGGCTGCATCAATTTCTGTACCACTAAAAGGATAGCAGGTGACCTATAATCGGCAACAGTATTTTGCACTTTGTAGACAGGGCGTAAGGTATGGTATAACTCCAAAGGATTTGTCAAGAGTTCACTATGCAGTCTTACGATTGCCAAACAGTAAGGTCATGCAACGTGCGTAATCCAGATCACCCAGTTTCCCCGGGTAGGAGCTCAATTTCAGCATCATGAGGTCGACCCTAACCGCGTAAAGAAAAGTGAAAATGGAGAAACCGAGAAGACGGTTCACTTTCAGGAAGGCACCCGAGAATTCGTTGTAAACCCTGACGCGATCAACGGCATCTAAGTAGGGAATACGTAGGGTGTTCATAAAATTCACGGCAATACTCTTTTGGGAATATGCATCGAGAATAACAAGGCGATTGATTGGACCGAATGCTTATCTGGAGTCAAAGAACACGGACATTGTTAATTTGCGATACGTCTAGCTCATTTAGAGCGCTTTCTACAGGGTAAAAATGTATGATCTACACCTGTGGTGTAAAACTTGGGAATCCCTGATGCCGCATGGGCAAATAATTGTTGTCATGAAGGCCTATACATATTATAACTATAACACAATATTTTAACTACTTCAATTTCGTGACATGATTTTAGCGGTTAGACACATCTATGAATGCAAGGTAATTAATTAGTTTAACGAAAGAATAAAAATTAGATTTTTAGCAGTAGCATAGACTTGAATGTGACAGCAACAAATGCATTGCACAACCATTACAACAGTTCAAGAATGAAGATTTGTACTGATTGTTCTTGAGGCTTGACATCTCTTTCTATGGACAATTGTTGCTAGATTCGGTTGTAATGTCTGCACAGTTCCGACTTTGATCAGAGATGCCAAGTTTTTATCAGTCCGCCGAGTATGTTGAGAAGTTTTGTCGCTTTCATGAAGGAAAATAACTGCTCACATAGGTAGAACCGAACATTGCCATAATCCTTGTGGCAAACTTTCTGAGGTTTTAAACTTTTCACGGAGGTGTGAAAAGAAACCAGATACTCCCACTTCAGGGTAGTTTGCTCAGAGTATCGAATCAAACTGTATTTCTAATAGTTCCACCTGCAGGCTTTCTTCTGCCTTGGCAGCACCAAAGGTGTATAATGCTGAGAACAATGTAAACTGATGTTCAAAAGATGAGAAAACATGAAATATTTCCTGAGATTCTTTTGCACAAGTCCAGGTGACCGTCATACTTCGCAAAGCCGGGCCGTAGCCTAGAGGTAACGAGCTTCTCTTGTAATCTTGCGGCGCGGGTTCGAGCCTGCGCAGGAACAGGGCGACCCTCGCAGTATCCTTAGCCCAGGTGCGACCGGTGGTGGTTACGAGGCAGCGAAGCATCGATACTGCGTACCTAAGAACTGCTGATGCCTTCTTCATACTTCGCAAAGCTAAGTGCAGATTTAGTATTGACAGTGTAGTTCGGCTGTTCGCCGTAAGGAAAATGAACAAAATTTCCTTTGGACGACTATGACTTCAATAAGCCTAGTTTTGTAACGAAGCACGTGATGTCATCATATAACTGAGTGGTGAGTTTGTTTTGCCTTGAGATTTCAAATTAAGGTCAGCTGATTGAGCAGTAATGTCCGCAGCGAATGTTAGATCCTGGAGCCAAATTGCATCTTTTATGTTATCTGTGTTTTGACCTTTCGTCTCCAAAAACAACACTATTTCTTGTCTCAACAAATAAAACCTCTTCAACACTTTGTGACATAATAATCAGCGGACTTCTGTGTAGAATGGAACATAGGTAAACTGATTATTCATGTCTTCCAACAACTGGTTGAAACGACGGTGGTTGAGAGCACGGCCTCTGTCTTAGTGACCAAACTGAGCACATGATCCAATGTTAAAATCTCTGAACACAAATGTTGACGATGAATAATGCATTGCAAAGATGCATATGAATCCGAGTGTGATTTTTCAATTTCTGTACGTAACATGACAGCAACACCATTATGTCTACCAACCATATTCGCAGCACCATTGGTAGATAAGCATGTAAGTTCAATTCATAATCACGCAGAAGCTGCTCGACTTTCTGAAGCAAGTCCTAGCTTGTTGTAGTGTCGTGATTGGAATCAGTTCAATCAGTTCTTCATAAACATTAAATTCGCTGTCACATGCCTTGATGAAAACCACAAGCTGGGCGATTCCAGTGATGTCAACGGTCTCATCAATAGCAATGGAAAAAGGTTCAAAACCGGATAATGTGGCCTTCAGCGGTTGTTTCAAATCAATTGACATTTCATCAATTCGTTCAGCAACAGTGTTCCTGTTCAATAAGCGAATAAGTGCGCTTTCTCTGAACACACAATTTCAACCGTTTTTACAAGGCATTGCTTCACGAAATCTCCTTCACTGTAAGATTTCCCACTCAGGTCGATCATTCGACTGAGTTCATAGCTTGCAGTAACGGAAGCGACATTCTCTTTCTCCGTTTTTTTGTAAATCAGATATATTGAGGTCGCAAGTTATCCACAATTCCTTGAGTTTTGAGAACCGCATTACGTCTTCATAAGGTCAATGGTTCGTTTCATGTTTTTCAATTTGTAATCTTTTGGCGTGACAATGCTGTTGTTGCAAATTACGCAATGCATTTTTCCATGCAGCGCTGTGAAAATACAGTAATTCCCATTTTTCTTGAAACAATAGACCTTCGTTCACTGTCCCTTTTTCTGATAAAGATTCGGTGGAATCTGAACAGTGCTCATTATATGGTAAGGAAACCATTCAATCCACTATCATAAACAGCAACAAAAGTTGTACGAGAGAACGAAGGTGACATCGGTTCGCCTGCAGTCGGTGCAGTCACACGCAGTCGGTACACACCGAGCAGTGCGTGCACGGTCGACAATCCGTGAAATCCCCACGAGATTGGCATGATCTAGACATGCCTACCGATGCAACCACGAAAATCCCAGAGGGAGAGGCTTGCCCAGGACATGTTTACGGCATAGATGTGGAGTATTAAAAGAGATCTCTATTTTTAAGTTTTAACTTGCATGCTTCGTAGCTACATTCCTGTTTATGTTCTGTTTTGAAAGCGATTAAGGGGTGATTGACTATTTCAAAGTGTAAGAGACATCCTCCTGCTTAAAGAATAGTAGACCGTTTTTCTGTGGAGGACACTTTTATCCAGTTTAGCTTATAAAAACCGCAAATTTGGCTGTTTAATGACCAAATGAATGTCCTTTGTGCGTGCCGCAGGGGTGCTTGTAAAGGGTCGTGTGTTTTACACCAACGATCTACACAACCTGTTTGAGTCGGAAACCTAACGTTGCTTCCCTCATCAAGGTTCACAGACCGCAGCCCATCGCCTCGACTAACGCATACGTGGTTTTGTCGGGGGAGCTGCAATTGTGAAAACACATTGATCATGGATGAAAATGTTCAGAACCACAAAGAAAAGGACATACACTGCTGGTCGGCAGAAACAAATACACTAAGGTGACGGAAGCGCTAGGACAAAATTCGGGAAATTACAGCTAAGGGACGCAGTGGTGACAACTAGCACCGGGGATGTGGGTGGAAGAAGAGGAGGTGGCCAAGCGATGACTTGGTCCAGAGGAATGAAGTCCATCACTTCGGAGCTAGCCTCGGTTGGAGCTTCACAGCTCCCTGGTTGGGGTCCAAAAGACGGTGAACACGTTTGGCTGGATACACTTGCTGACATAGCAAGGAGCCGACCTCAGTGGCGTTCCTGCTGTGAGTTTCTTTGTCCCTCCCCATCCCTTTTAGTCTCCCCCTCCATCTACGATCTCATTTCGTAGGGTAAAACAATAATTTTTTGCCTAGTAGCTGGCTGGTAGCTTACCGGAACGATGCCTATCCGTTGCTGGTAGCTCAGCTGGAATGCAACTGTTGTATCTATTTTTCCTTTATGTATTGTATCATATGTATGTATTTCTTTCATGTATTGCGGCACAATAGCGGAGGTGTTTTCCCACCTCTAGCTGATGTGTATAATGATGATGATGATGATGAGCACCAAGGGTTCACAGTGGATAATAACCACGTATCTAAAGAAAGGGATGGCTTTTGATGAACCGATAAGAACGATCTGTAGATGCAGGCTGTGAATATGCGGTGGTCGCATGGCAAAAGGTGATTGCTAATTGCAATTGAAACTGCTGCCAAATGTATCTAGCGGGCGTTGCAGTGAAGTATATAGAAAACTAACGAGTATTACGATGTGATTATTGTAGTCAGATGATTTAGCCAGGAGCAGTGGCGATGGGAGTATAAGCACTACATCATCACTTCGTACAAATGCTTCGTTACTATGCAACCGCCAACGGTTGTGAGCGGGTTGGAATAAAATTCAGGAGTCCACCCTTGGAAGGAGTTCAGGCTCGAATCCTGAGTACAACGGTTGCAAATCAGATGACTAAATAATTAGGGAGTTCACTAGGGTGAAACAATCAGATGACAACAAGAATAAGAAGGATCTTCATGATGACAGGAAAGCAGGACGCATAGATCAGTTTTTCGGTAAAATAGTGAGAAGGGCGGTTGAGGAAAAGCTTCGTTACTCACTTTTTTCCAACCAAATAGGTTCAGTGACAATTTTTCGATAATCTTGCAACCCCAAAGCATCCGGATCGATTTCCTTCATAAAGGGATAGGTCACATGAGCATTTGCCTTCCCCATAATGGAATCCAACAGCTCTCGAGCCACGGTGACTTCAGTGTTAGTTGTATTACCATCGGCCATTGCGAAAGTGTGACGGAAGGCCAGACAAAAAGTGGGGATATCACTAAAACAAACATATTAATCCCATGACAATCTAAAACGATTGGAAGCTTTTGGAAAACGTGCGATTGACATAAACGAAATACTTGTAACCATTGTAACAGAGGCTCGGTAATGATGGGACATGGCAACAAACAGCCGGCGATAGGACCGAATCTTGACTATTCGTTCTGGCACAGAAGTCAGAGTATGAAAAAAGCGGACAGAAGAGTGTTCAAGAGGGCATGCAGAAACTAGTTATTCTGTAACTGTCAAACATCTCAGTGACGGTGTTTGCAAGACGCATCGACCGTTAATGACTGATATGGCAAAAACATACAAATAGTAACATTACGAATAGGAGACTGCAGCGTACTTTAAGAAATACTCCTTCTTAGAAGAGGACCCCGCTGACTGATGTAAACTAAATGCCCTGAAGCAAATGGGACGCGCGCATACTCTGAAGTTTTCTCTCACTTGGAAGGTGTAAACAGTTAAGCCACCCAAGCAGTACATTTCCTACTTTGGGTATGATTAAATGCAGATGATCAATCAAGCAGGATTGTGAGAAGAGTAACCCAATGCCACGGCCGAGCAGGAACATTTTGGAATGATATATCACAAACTGTCAAAATTGGAATTGAGAAGCGTGATCTCCATCGGTCTTTTTCTGCTTTGCTGAAATGTTGCGGTTCCTTCAATCGGGCTCATTCCATGTGCCAAATGTTACAGACTGTGTTCGTGCGTACTCCGCAGTCGAATGGGTTCACCATCATTTAACCCCCCTTGGATGACAAGCAAGTTTTTGAACTTCAGCTAGCACCCATTACAGACCCGTTGATGAGTTCGTGTGCCATTTGCCGTCAACTGAGCGGATAGGTGTTCCAATCCATCCAGTTTGATACCCCGCTACAGTCGGTTTAACAAAGCAGTGTTCAAACCCATGGCATTACATCGCCTCACCTTGTTGAGTGAGCGACTTGAAAATTATGTGTGACCAATCAGGAAATGAGTGATGATTTAATTTACTAGGGAGGATCGATACTTATCAGGCGGTATCACCGTCCCACTCTAAATAAGATCGATTGGCCAAATTTCAAACTAGCGGAGATTGCCTATCAAGTTGCATGTGAGGGAAACTGAAATTGGGCGGAATCTGAGTTAACCACAACGTCTCGCTTCTGAACCAATAAAATATGATGATGACTCGAACTGAACAGGCTATGTTATGGAATTGTACTGGTGAACAGGAATTCTTTTCATCAAATTCTCTGTCTTCAAATTTTCCAGGTGGATTGGGAGCATATGCGAAGAGCCCGATTGCGATAGCCGAAGTCGCACGCGTTAGGCAGAATTTAACAACTGGCAACGGAGTATTTTTGATTAAAGGAATCGAAGATGCCATTTTCAGTAGAACTGACCACCATACTACATCAGCAGAAGAGATTTGAAGAAAATCAAAGTTGACTGAGAACATCTTTCAGAGCTTTGAGGTGCAAACAAGGCCTCACAATGAAAGGAAACATGCTTTCGTGGATGCCGTCAGCATTTGTGAATTTCAATATGATCCGGATGCTGCCCTTACCTTCGAATCATGGCTCAGAGGATAGGAAGACGTTTTTCAGTCTGAATTTGCCGACGCATGAAAGTGCAAGCTGTTTCGACGTGACTTGGGAACCAAAGAATATGACAAGTTCCTCAATTTTATTCTGCCCAAATGTTCCGATAATTTCACATTCGACTAAGTGGTATTCATGCTGAACATTTTTGGTGATCAGTCTTCCCTGTCCAGCGTCCGGCATAACTGCATGAAGCCTCAGATGATTTCGTTACATATGCAAGTAATGCCAACCGAGATTGTGAGCGTTTCAGGCTAAAATAGATGTCCGACGAACAATTCAAGACGCTTATTTTCATTTGCCATTCGAATACTAGCAGTGCAGGAATAGCACTACGTTAGATTCTGTCCTTTCAAAAAGCATCGTAGTCAGTAATGCAACAAACAGGGCTATAAGGAGGATCACTGCCGTTTAACTACCTTCCATACCAAGTATTCAAAAACGCGCGTACCCACATCATTAACAAAAGGAGGATTCCAGTTGTACCCTGTTTTTTTCTACATTTAATGCAAGGGCAACAATGCGCAGCAGGTTCGTTAGGGTAGTCGTGAACAGAGTACCAGTGCACCTGAGTCAAGGGGAATGTTAAGCTTCAGCAATCCAAAAATTCCCATTTAATAGAATGAATCAAAGGAAGGCAGATTTTGTGTGAAGAATTATTTTCGGTAATTTTCGTCGGACCCAAATTTACATGATGACGATTGTATACGAATTGTACCGAATAGGGCTACGTACTGACTAGATAATTCAATTCCAAGAGAAAAGAGCTATTTCACGACTCGCCTACGCATAGTATACTGCGAAAAACTGTTACTCGCAAAACCTTTGAAAGATAGATTGACCCGCTGACCCAAGCAATGGTCGTTTATCAATACTCGTGCCCCTGTGGAGCACGATACGTGGGTCACACGATGAGACGTTTATCTCATAGGATTTGCGAACACATTCCGAACTGGCTTTACAGAGGCGAAGCGAGATCTTCTAATAGCTCCATCATGTCGCATGTCTTAGAGTGACTTCAAGACCATCTGCTAGATACGTGAGCGTCTCACGCGGATGCCGAAAACAGCTATCCATCGCAGAAGCTATCTACATCCGTCGCCTCAAACCGGAGTTGTGCGTACAAAAACACTTTGTACGCCCCTTACTTCTACCGTGGCCTAGGTATGTCGTACGACGTTTTGATTTGTGTCGCAGTTAATCTTTGTTTAAGGCGATTTACCCTTGCACATAATCTGCTGCCTCCAGTGACATCGTGATATATCGATAAATTTTCCCTTGGAAGCAAAGTATCTAGTCAATACGTAACCCTATCCGGCACAATTAGTTTGCAACCGTCATCATGTAAAGCAGGAGTCTGACGAGATTTACCAAAATGAATTCTCTATTCAGAATCTTTCTTCCTTTGATTCAGTCTACCTGTGCGCATCCAAGTTGACACTGCCACGGATATCGCGGTCATATCCGAGGAAACGTGGAAGGAAATCAGTAAACCATGCATCCAGAAAACAACATGGGTTGCTGCCAATGCTTCAGGAGTGTTGAACCTGGTAGGTGAAAGTTCGCGCTCTGTGGTTTTTAAGGATTGCAATTTCGAGGGGGTTTGCTATGTACCAAGATACCTCAACCTTGACTCACATGTCAAGGAAAAGAATGTGAAACTGCTAGACACTCCCTTGAATTACGTGTCATTCACTCGTTACACACGCTAGCTGTACGTGTAAAACACCTCAGCTATGGTGCCGCAATACAAAAAGTGAAACAGAAGTACGTCGGCTGAGCCAGGAGTAACGAATGGACATCGTTCCAGAGAGCTGAAAGCCAGCTATTGTGTCTCAAAAAGTCAGAGAACCCCTAGTAATTAAGATCGTGGTTGGAGAGTGAGGCTAAAGAGAGTGGGATGGATAAAAGGAACTCACAAAACAAACGCCATTGAGGTCTTCTATTAGCCGTGTCAACTTCGACCTTGACAACCGGATAGTACCTCGCTCACTGACGAAACATGGATGCATCACCCCTTCGCACACCCAATAGAAATAAGCAAAAAAGAAAAACCTTCGAGTGGAAAAACGGACAAAAAATTTGTTTGCTTCCTTTCTTTATTGAATCTAACACTGTTTTCCTATCCCGCCATTGCTTCGATTCCACAGCATCTGTATGGAGATTATGAATTATTTATATATATATATATATATATATATATATATATATATATATATATATATATATATATATATATATATATATATATATATATATATATGCCCCATGCTGAGGCTGATGTTGCATTCTTGATGCTTCTTCACCGCAGTTGGGCTAAACCAACTTACACTTAAACTAGGTCTTTTTAAGCTGGCTAAATTTCATTCCACTTTCTTTGGTTTGTTCTGCCTGCATGAATACCCTTCTATTAACTGGCCACGTTGCTTACATTAATTGCGCTTATCTTCGGTAACTGTTGCGGTTCGGAGCATTTTTAACTAACTTGTGGACATTTTTTCCTTATCGCGGATTCGTTGCCAACCAACTTACTTCATATGCTAATTTAGCGAAGAGTTATGCCACCATATCCGTATGCATTATTGGATTTGTTTTATTTCATCTTGTCGTTCCAGGTGATTGGCTGTTGCTTGATATTCCCGGTGTGGCTGCGCTTGATGTGCATGTTGACAAGGCGCCTACCTGTCTATTACCCACTACCTCGTCCATACTGGCTCTAGGAGACAGTTGCTCGTTGCTGGAGGGTACGGGGTGCACGGTCCTTGTGGTCGTGTTAGGCTCGAAGAGTGGTTCCATGCAGTCAGTGTGGAGCGGACTACGGTCCAGCCACCGCCTTGTGTGCGCTTGATTCGCAAATACAGTGTGCTTGTGTTTGCCTGTGAAGGAGTGTGGGCCGGCTCCGTTGATGAAACGGGGCTTCCATCCACATGGTTCCTGGTCTTATTCCTTCGGGTTTACACTGGATATGGGGTGTGTGGGTGGTGCTGCGCACGCCACCCGTGGTCCCTCTGTAGGCGCAGGCGTCCTGTGGCTGGCCACGGTGACAGGCAAATCCGAAACCGGATGTCGCCAAATATATATATATATATATATATATATATATATATATATATATATATATATAAACCGGTGCATCCAACCATAAGTGTTCGTTTTTCGGCCTCCAACCGGGGAGCCGAGAGACTCCAACCGACGATAACTTCGAACTAAGGGCTTTCATTTCTCTTGATCAAATCATCGCTTGGCCACCTCTATACTTCTCCCATCCGCATCCCTGGCGCGCATACTAGCCACGCCGCAGGAGTCGGTAGGCTGGCATGCGCAACAAATGACCGAGCCATCGGAGCCTGGAATGTGAAATAACGGTGCTGAGCGGCTTGCTTCTTCATCCCGCGCCATAAATAAGGTGTCGAACACGTTCGTTGCTCACACGGCGCTCCCACCAGATATGAGCCAAACTGCAAAGGCACTGGCGGTCGAACGTAACTAGCCTCTTTATGTCCGCTGATGTAAGGGGTCAGTTTTCACAACCGTATAGTAGGGTGAAACTTACGGCAGCATCCTATACAATACCCTTTAGAGCGATAGTGATGTCGTGCAGACACCACAGGTTAGCAAAAGCGCCTCGAGCTTTTGCTACACGGTTTGTGACCTCGTCTTTGATTCCACAGACGTTGATACAACTACCAAGGTAGTTGAACTTATGAACGACTTCTAGCTGATCCCAAGCACGAGACGGTCCCTACTAACCTTGAAGGAAAGCTTTGCACTCCGGGGTGCAAAGCATAGCCCGAAACGGGTGACAGCCAGTGCTAAGCTGTCTAGTGCTGTTTGGCACGTTTGTGAGCTGTCACAGATGAGGGTATTATCGTCAATATATTCGAAATTAAGACGTCGTTCACCCGGGAGCAGCTCCACACGTTCTAAGTCGTGTCCTGTAAACGCGATTTCCATGAATTCGTCAATAGCGAAGTTGAAGAGCGAAGGTGACAACGGGCGTCCTTGTCTCACACCGCTGGAGATATTGAAGGGTGGCGACAGCTTGCCGTAAGCCCTCACTCTGCCCGAGCTACGCGAGTAAAGCGCTCGCATAATATTTACATATTTCTCAGGCACACATTTTATTAGCAGATAGTCCCAAAGGGCACGTCTATCCAACGAATAGAATGCATATTTGATGTCGAGGAACACAACTACAGTGGGCCGCCAATAAACATGGTGGTGTTCCAACAACTGACGTAAAGTAAAGGTGTGGTCGACGCCGCCACGACACCGAGGAAACCCGACTTGCTCCTCACGAATCTGGTTTTCACGTGCGCCAGTCAGTCTATGAAGTAGTACAGAGGTAAACAATTAGGAGGCGATGGGGTCA